AATAGTACATTATTGTGACAGTATGAAGTATGACACAGGACCAATAAAACAGGGATATCGTAGATTGCAGGAGAGATTAGCTACAGAAGACCAAACAAATGTACTTGAAAATAATGTAAGTATTTGAATTAGAATGAACTAAAATTAAATGCTTGGAAAAACTCGCATTAATAAGTAACTGATATTTATTGTAAACAATTTCAATCTACAGGTACCACATGAGAGTAGTGATATAGAAGAAACACATGTTGGTGAGAATGAAACCCCGACGCACGTACCTCCTTCCCAAACAAATAATTTGGCGTCAACGAGCCAAGTCGCAACCGAAAGTACCGAAATATTAGTTGAATACACAAAAAGAGCAAAACATGCACTGTTGGAATCGACGTTAAATAATCCTACAATTGACGAAACAGGGTCCCATTGGTATGTATGTCCATTTTGTAACGAAGCGACGTTAGGGTCAAATAATATGATAGCACATTTTGAACAATACTTCTGTTGTTGTTCTTGTGGTTTGTATTATACGAGCGTAGACGCGTTAAATGTACATAAAGAACGGTGCGATGTACATAAAAATAAAATGATGAATAAAGAAAAGGAAGTCACAGAATCAGAATTAACGCCTTTGCAAAACGAGACGAACGTTGAAGAACAAAAGAAACAAACAACGGTAAGACAAAAATGGACACCAAAAGTTTGCACTCATTGTGGAAAACAATATAGGACAAATTATAAATTGCAAGAACATATGCGAAAACATACTGGTGAAAAACCTTTTCAATGTGTCACTTGCGAAAAAGCATTTCGCAGTAAAATAGGGCTCGCTCAACACACGGCGACGCATACCGGACAATTCGATTACAATTGTTCCACGTGCGGTAAAGGTTTCCAGTCTAAAAGCTACCTTGTTCTCCACCAAAGAGTACATTCAGATTTAAAACCATTTCCGTGTAATACTTGCGGACAGCACTTCAAAACGAAACAATCTTTATTAGATCATCAAAACCGACATCTTGGTGTTAAACCGTATGTTTGTGAAATTTGTGGTAGAGGTTTCATAACTAAAGGACTCTGTAAAAGTCATCAAAAGATACATTCAGGCATGGATAATCGTCAATATCCGTGCGTGGTATGCAATAAAATGTTTGTTAGCAAAAGTTATCTTAATACGCACCTACGCATTCACACTGGCGAGAAACCGTATTTATGCGAAGTTTGTGGTAAAGGATTCTTAACACGCGTCGATCTGAAAATTCATTCGACGATGCACACTGGGGAGAAAAGTTTTAAATGCGATATGTGTGGTAAAGTGTTCGCCAGAAGGGCCGCGTTGAGATGTCACAGAAGATTACACACGGGTGAACGACCTTACAGATGCGATATTTGTGGTAAAACGTTCACACAATTTACTCCTATGGCCATACATAAAAGGCTGCATACAGGAGAGCGACCGTACGAATGCGATGCGTGTGGCAAAACATTTGTATCGAGATCAACTATGATGTGTCACAAAAAGAAACATCATACTACTACACCGACTGTAAAAAAAGAGGAACCACCAGTTGTTCCTCGTCCGAAAGAAACGAAAAATGTTTTACCAGCGGAGATTGTGCTTCGAGATTCTCAAGAAGGAATCCAAATTACCGCAGATTAAAAAACATTGAAATAATACAGACGATGGATGATAGAAAATAAAACATTGAGTCTGCATTTTATAAGAAGCGGCATTAGTCACCATGATGTATTCCTTTACTGTAGCATATGTGTTAAAGCTGTATACAAAGAATATATTTTCGAGAATTCTTTGCAAGGGGTAAATGTATGTTTCCTAAAGCCACCCTGTACATTTAGAAAAGAAAAAAAAAATTAATTTACGCAATCATTTACATTTTCTCCATTTTTATGTCGGTATGAATATTTTGTCGTAGTATGTTGTTTCCTTTAGGTTATATACTTTTTCTATTTACGATATGTATTATTCTAAAAGGATACTTTAAAGATGAACAATTGCTGTTAATTAAGCCACAAAATATATAAAGTCAACTTAAAAATAAGTTATCAAATTGATAACCATATTATAAGTTTATCAGTCTACATATTACATTACAGGAAATAGTTTTTCAATTTATATTCAGTTTTCCTAATTACGCATAATAATACTTAGTAATATTTGTAACATATGTTTGAAGATATGTATAATTCAAGTAGTAAGTATAAGTTTTTTTTAACTTAATGATCAAACAACATGTTTTTTATTGAAAAAAAAAATTCGAATCATTTGATAATATTATCGAAAGTTATTAAATGAAAACGAAATAAATTAATTTATAATTTCTTTTGAAGAAATGCCATATGGTATCGTTCATAAAACAATATGAATCTTGTTCAGAAACATATTTAAGTATGTTAAACAAAATGAAATTTTTCGTTTTATTACATAAACATATGAAAATTTACACTTCATATTCTATGTGCATTAAAAATTGTTATGAACACTACTCGAAAATTAGAAGATGCAGCTTTTACTATCTACAATACAAAATATGATTATCATAAGGAAAGTGAAATATTTTCTTATCAGTGCTAGTAAAATATCAACATATTATTTAATAAATCAAAGGCTGATAGCTACTTTTATTGCAAGGAAATGCTATAGATAGAATAGTGATTATATCTCGTTAATGACATAATTTTATAAATTTTACAGAAAATTAGAATTATATATATGATCGCCTTTAACACGACGTATATTTCTGTGGCATCTCAGCTATTCTCTTTCAAATAAAACAGCTTTCAGCACTATACAAAGTAGAAAATGTGATATATAATAATAAATCGATTACATTATTTGTAAATTTGTGATGATTGTAATATTATTATTGACAAATCTTCTCGATAAAAAATATAAAAACTTTACAGTCACCTTCACAGTTATTTTTAAGTTTTATATACCTATACACATCATTAATATTCGTTTATTTATTGATACTTCAGTCAAAAGAAAGTTGAAGATAATCAAGTAACTTGCACAAAAGATTTCATTAATTTAGTTAGCAATAAGGAAAATCCAAATTAGCGGAAAGAATCATCGATCTTATTAAAAATTCTTTTTATTTCGAAACTGTATTAAATAATAATATTAATGACAAGAGCTGCTATATCGGTAGTTGGCTTGAAATTGTCTTTTTGCAGTAATAACATAATACAGGCATTACGCGCGTACGTCGGTATTTTAAAAAATGGACATAAACTTATTCTTGTCTTTAACTACATTATTACACTGACCTGTTACGCAGCTATTACATATGTACACACAGTGTGTTTCATAATGTGTATGTGTCTAGCGTGATAACAATTTCCATTATAATCGCTGTTTGTATTGCCCTACATCGTCCTACAATTGACAACAAATATTTAATCTATAATTTGACATTAACTACCTATGCAAGGCATTGATGACGATATATTTACTTCGTTACTTTTCCGTCTATACTATAAATTAGGGGGCCCCTAAAAATTACAAGGATAGTGAGTTAACGGCTACACTGAATTTCACGATATACGTTAATTTGTTGAAAATTATTTAAGCATTCGTCATGCGTTACCCCATCAAATTTGGTAAATACAAAATACATATAAAATTGTAAACGGCCGCGATAAAAAGAAAAACTTATAGAAAAATGTAATAATGTAAGATACAAAATACGTCCATCGTTGTTTGACATGTGTTTAACCTCTCGATATAAATATTTGTAACTTTTCTTTCTTTTTTTTTTTTAATTTTCCTTTTAAAATCACTTTTATTCTGATACGCCCAAACTTTGCTATTATATGTGTAAACATTACTGTAAGCGTGCAGGTATAGGGGCCCTCACTAACTCGGTGATCGATGGTGTTAATAAATTCTCTAATATTGGATTACATATGTATCTTACAAAGCACCACGATCTAAAACTACACAATACATATAGGGTGTGTCACTTATTTGATACAAACTACAAGCAGGCAATCGGATGTGCAACTCTTGTACTTTGTTTTTAACCCTTAGCTTGTATATGTAAATAGAATTTTATTGTTCATCGTACAGATAAATATTGACAATTGAGAGTGGGTAACAATCGGTGAAAAATGGAAATAAACACAGTTTACAATATTAAAACCATTAAATATATACATACACGATCATCACTGAACACCCTATATATTTTGTCTAGTTGTCACTTACACAATAATAAGCAAACATACATTTTAGTCGAGATTTGATTCAAACAACATAATATTATTTCAATAGAATCAATATATCATCAGCGAGTCTGTGTTTATTCAAATGTCGTACGAACACTGTTGCAGATATTTTCTTCTTTGCCGATGTTACATTTGGTAAAAAGAGTACAGCTATTTAAAAATGTTCGTGATTATATTGATCCCAAAACTGATTTTTAACTTTCTATGTTTACATATAAACTTAGCATAGTCACAGCGGCGTGTTTAAATTCATAGACGTAAAATTCAACTACTTAGGAACGCAAAAGGATTGCTAGAAAGGAAGGATTCTCGTAATTGCTAATGTACGTAACTAAACAAATCTCCATAAAATAATAATAACGAAAGACGATTTGATCAAATAAAAAAATACACGCGGTCAGAGAAGATATGAATTCGCTTAGTAAAATTATAAATACACCATCAAATTTCCGTCTTCAATTCGGGATAAAATGAGATAAAGTAATAATCAATATACTCTCCGACATCAGTTCGTAAATATTTTTATGACAAGAGGTTTTGGCAGCACGTGCATTATACACAGACAAAGACAGACTAGCATAAAAGCCAGTGTTTTTAATAAATCTTAATAATAATAATAATAATAATAATAATAATAATAATAGATAATACGCGAGAATAAAAAAAATAGAGCACTGCTTTAAAATAACATTACAGTGTCAAATAAAAGAATTAGAAATCTGATAATGTATTTATGAACACAAGAAATGAAATATGCTACGTATACATTTTATTTTATTTACAGTGTTTGTTAATCAATTAAAAACGATTATTCGTTCTTTTCATGGATCCGTGAAGTGATAACATTCTATAGTCCAACATATACAAATAACAGAAAATCTAAATACACGAACTTAATATAAATTATAAATTATTTATTTGTAAAACAAAAAGAGGATTTCATATACTTAACGATAAAAAAGGAACCAATGGTTATCGGGAAAGTATTTTTTTCTTGTTTCGCTCGTCACATATCCGTGAAATAATATTCAATTGTGAAACATATTTACTGATACTGTATTTGCAATAAAGCTAATTCAAAAGCTAGGGAACTTATTCGATAAAATAAATCATATTTCGCTACTAAATAGCAACAATACAATACAAAAATTGCGTAGTGCAAAATATTTTAACACTCACATATTTGAGCACCTATATTAAATTAAGAATCATTATTTCTTCTATATAATTGTATAATTTTGCAACTGATGTTGTTTTACATTTTTTTTTTTTCATTGTTCTATCGTTTTAACATTTCTGAGTGATTAGCAACATAAAATTGCCACAAATATTAAATTATTCACAATTGTAACAGCGATGTAGTCCATCATCAGTCTTTCTCTCATTTCTATATCTGTCATGGTTCATTTCTTTGTAGTCATTATAATATGTATGCATACTTGTGTCTGTGGTGGCTTGAAGCACTCATGAGACTAAAAAGCATGTCTGAATATTATTTATTCCAAAACAAGAATTTTTTTTTATTGTGTTACAGGAGAGTTAGAGGAAGGGAGTGTCTTGGTCCTCTTTTGATATTAGATTTTGTATACACATTCGTTTATATTCAAACAGTACCACTTTTTAAGTCCTCATGGTGGAAAATTAATTTGTGAATTATACATAAAGATAATGAGAAGTTTGTAATTTCTACGATTTATGAAGTTACTCGGTCTTATTATCAATGCTAAAGAATAGGTTACGCTACTTCATACACTCGGAAAGGAGGAGTACCTACAGCGATATAAGTGCTCTTCTGGTTCCTTAATTTACATTACTGTTTAACAATTGGACGATTTTAATTATAAACACGTGATTTAGAATTGTATATTTTGTAAATTACACGATTTCACTGAAATATCAAACACGTTAACTTTAATTTTGAAAATGGTGGCTAGACCACCCACAGACACTGGTGATAGAACATTTTCTCTCCTACTTTTGAATCAGTATTTTCTTCTTTTCAATAATTTCTTCTAATTCCACGTTAATCAATGACTCATGTAAAAGTTAACGCAATCGCCACACGACATCATTTTATCAGAGTAAATTCTTCTAACAACGTGCCGTATGTAATCAAGCAATATCAGCGTACAGCGGTATAATTACTGCTCTGTTCACGTTTTATAGCAGCCATTTTATTTTTTTACAATTTATAATTACTTTTATATTACTCGCATCCAATTAATCATATCAAATGCGGATATTTTTGTTTGTAGACAAAAGGACTCAGATAATAATAAAAATATTGAAATAAAATTGACAACAATTGCATACAGGGTAAGAAATACTTTCAAATTTATCATCTCTAGAAAACCTGTTCTTATAAATGAAACATTTTTGCATGACAAAGTATGTTTCGAATATTGTTGTTCTGTTAACAGTATCAAATAGACCTGATTTTACTGAATAAATTGATGGTGAATGTAATCGAATTAAATAAAGTCATTTGCGCATATACCTACTATTATTGCTCTAAAACTACAGCACTGATAAACGGATCCAAAATGTTGATCATTGTGTACAACTTTTCTTCATCACAGGGTGTAGTAAATTTAAGTATACCACCCTAAAATATATCTAATTTATTTACAGTACTTCAAAATAAAATTGAAGGCTAATTAGAATTCAAATTCAAATCGGATCGTTAGCAGACATCAACGACATGACATAATATTATATACCTTAGAAATGATTTCACGTTTATATTTTATAAATTTAAGAACGATAGTAAGTTACTTACGATGCTACTTAAGCGTCTGTTTAAGATGGCGCATGAGGCGACTGCCAACGTCGTGTACCTCAGGCCATTGTTTGAGCACGAACACTATGCCCATTACAACAAACATAGTCGTTAGTATGCGCACCCTGCACATGAAACAATGAGGCTTAGTACAGCTGCAACAGATGCGAAAACAAAATGAAACAAATATTATAATAAATTAAATCCAAACAAGCAGAGTCTACTTGAAGTAAAAATTTCGATTGTTAGTTTGGACCCTCTTCGGTGTACAAAATACAGTTTGATTATTTGTACATTATTATGTATAAACAATCGTATCTTGTATAGTGAAGAGGGTCCAAACTAAGACTCGAAATGTTTATTTGAAATAAACTATGCTTATCCGGACTACATTCATTACAATATTTGTTTTGAATGTGAAAAACAATGTATACGCATACAGTCTTAACAAAATAAAACAATGACTGCTTAAAATAAAAATCTGATAACAATGTACACGATTATAAATGAGGATGTACATGAGAACAGAAAAATAAGTGGATATGATTTCATACAAATGTATAGAAAAGTTAATTTATTATTGTATAGTGATTGTCATTATAAGAAAGAAAATATAGTCGTTCTGTAAAATCGTTGTGGTTACGATAATATTACTCGCTTCAATGATATATCCTCTAATTTGACTGAAAAGGAAAAGGTAGTTAAAATAAGTACTATACCTGGTCCTAAGGAAAGGCATCATTATACCAGCACCCGTCGCAACAAGAAGTAGAATAACTTGCAACACTGTTAATAATACATTTATGAGTTTTACAACCAATGCTCTCGCATTGCTATTATCTAAACCTTCCAAAGTGACATATTGTTGGTGTTGTTGTTGCTGGTGTTCCATTGTAGAAATTTTCGTTTGGTAACTCTCCAACATTTCATGTATGTCTCTTAAGCGATCTTCGCTTTGGTATCGTACTTTTTCTTCCATATCCGTTATGGCTTGTTTCAAATTTTCTACTTCGTTTTGGTGCAGTTCGGTTAGATCGTTAATTTGTTCTTCCAAACGTTCGCTTCTAAAGCGTTCCTCTTGCAAAGCATGGGAAAGAAATGTCACCTCTTGTTGCAAAGTCTACAATCGTTCAATAACAGAGTATGTAAATCTATCAATACTGCAACAATTTAAGAACATCGACCAAAGGACTCTACAAAACAGAACGAACCTTTAAGCTTTCTAATTTTTCTCTCATCCGATCTTGATTTTCCCTGTGTTCTTTTAATTCCGAGTAAATAGATTTCAGGCTAAGCGCATTGTTACTGTGACACGTATGTCCTTGTCGTCTACTACCAGGTCCACTTTCACTTGTAACACTAGAACACTCCGAGCCTTCTTCAGACGGAAATTTCATTCCTGCTGCACTATGGGTAGACCCTAAACTACATCCACCGGGAAGTGTGGCTGATCCGTGATGTGTCTTTTCATCTTCAACACTAGCGTTATCTCCATTACCTGCACGCGGTGTATCGTTTACATAAAAAGTCGAGCCATCTGCAGAGACACAGACGCCGCAAATTAGAATGTTATCCAATACCAAATTATTCGCCTTTTTTAACAACTAATTTGTTTATTTAGGTCTTCATACTGAGATGTTTCTGTTGACTAATGTAGACATCGTATGCGACTAATGTGTTATGGTAAATTTTGTGATTAATTATAATTTAAAAAAAAAAAAAAAAAAAAAAAACAACGTTTTTTGTGTGTACAACTATCATTGAGTTTCTCTTAATTTACAGTCACTATTTTTTAAAGACATTATATTCTCGATCGAAAACTGCGTTTGGCAGATGTATTGGATAACTAATATAAAAGAAAGCAAGTGTTTGAATTATGAAAGCCGCTAAAGAGTACAAAGCAAAGTTAGTAAATAATACGGTCCGGTAACACAGATTCAAAGCTTATAATAAGTAAACATAACATTCTGATATGAACATTGTTTTATAAATTAAACGTGTATACGGACGAAATTATTTTGTTGTAACAAAAAAAAAAAAAAAAAAAAAACAATATAAGTAATTTAGACGCTTAATTTACGGAAAAGTAAAAACACGCATGGTGCATAAATTATAGAGTAGGGTGTGTACAAGGAATGTGAGGGAAGAAATATATTATAGAATATTGAAGAGTACAGTACAATGTAGCAAAAAGATTAAGACAAAATGTTACTTACTACTCTCAACTGCCATGGCAGCACAAAACATTAAATGATATTTATCCTTCAATTATAGACACAGTATAGATTAACATAAAATTAAAATATCTTTTAGTGTATTTACACACATATATATTTTGTAAATAAATAAATATGTGTACTATTGCTTGCCAGATTAAAGTTTATTAGCAGAAAGCAACATGTACTGGTGAGAGTGCTTTTTAAACACAACATTTTAATTGACATTTCATATATAAACTTGTTTCAAACAATACCATGTTAAATAAATAAAACAATTAATAATAAAAATTACTTACGTGATAAAGTATTTATATTATCAGCACTACCAAATTTGTTCTTTATTAAGTGTGCAAATTCCCTTGGTTTGGACATTACACTTCTGAAATATTTAAGAAATATAAAAGTGATTAAAAGGATCATTTTGATAAAAATTTATTTTTAAATCGGATCAATTTATATAATTTCTAAATTACTATTATAACACTTCAATACTAGTCTACTATTAGACTCAAATTTATAATGTCAATATAAGCGTCTACAAGATACACAAATATTTTTACATTGTTTACATCACTACTTCAATGGATACGTTTATTTTTGTGCAATAACATTTCTTTAAAATAGAACAACAAAGATGAATGTAACTCAAGGAAAGTGTTGAGTATATTATTTCGAAATCTATTTTTACGCGAACACTCACCCTGAAAAACCAGTGATTCCATCCCTTATATTGCCACCCACGTTTCTGGAAGTGAGTCTTAAATTAGATGAAAATATCATTCTCTACACTTAGAAGAATAAAAGATGAATTGAAGAAGGAATGAACAAAAAAACATACATTCGTACTGAATTAATCATTTACAAAATATGTAGTACTATTAATTAGCCTTAAACTATAATTACCTTAAACTACATATATACAACTTCTACTCTACTTATATTAGCGTATTACATACGTGTGGACTCGTAAGTATATTTTTTTTTCTTTACCACTATACTAATTCAATTAAGAAACTGTACATATTATCGAGAACAAAAAATTATACTTACTTAAGCCCTTGTCCCATATCACGAAGCACTTCTCGAGGTTGTCTGTGACTCGTAGGCGCACCATTTAATTCGTAATGTTTTAACTTTTTTGTATAACTTTCCAATTTTTTTTGGAGTTGAGAAATACTGTGCGCTGATTTTTGATTTTTCTTCTCAAATACTGCCTTGATTCTAGTAAGCTGCTGCTTATCTGCATTAGCAGCTAACTTTAAATATTCGTTAACGTTTTCTGAAATGAAATAGTTGTTTCTACATGTAATCATAACTCAAAAATGCTATGTTAATGAGTTATTAACTTCGGTGAATTACCATCTCGTGTTGTTTGTTCTATTTTTATAAGTTCTCGTGTTTTAGCAATTTTACTTTGAATGTGTTCAATAGCTTGACAAACACGAGCAGAACTTGTGTCGACATCGTCGGTTATTAATTCAGAGGAGCCATTTGATAGGAACGATTGTGTTGCATGATATTGTTCCTACAAATAAATTAAATATTATTGTAGGATATATGTATAACAACACACATTTTTTGTCCGTGTAATAATAAACAATACTTAGTTCATGATTGGGCTTTGAATACTTAAAGATTGAGATACTCATTTACAATGCCATTTAGAACATTATGCAAGTAACTACTACATTTATGAACTTTGATTATACAGTTATGGTTTATGACCTTGCGATACAGTGTGATTGTCACTGGATACACAATAACATCATATTACATAAGCAACTTTACATAAGGGAGCACAATTATATTTGCTATCGTGATAAATATATCAAAGAATAATGTTGAGTTAGCAAACAATTATTTCAATACCTTCCCATGTATAACAATTTTGTTGAAAGATAGCAAAAGTAAGTATCATTATTCTCAACAGGCCTTTGGTCAACGTATTCCTTCAATGGATGGATGAATGAATGAATGAATGAATATATAATGCATAATAATTTATTTATGAAAATGTATGTTCTTGACGTGTATATAGATAACTATGTAAATTTTGAAAAAAAACCATGATTAGTACTGAGTGAGTAAAAAGTTCAATAAGAAACAACTGCTTAGTGCTTTAGTTTAGAAGATTTATTAATAGGAATAAAATATTACAGGGAACAGATTTGATTACATGATGTGATATGCTTCTTTGTTATACTACATGAAATGACTTTGAAACATTCAAAACTAAAGATATTTTTACATAACTAAGTTACATACTCCTTCATCATCAGTTGGTGGGTGAATATTTGGCACAAACTCGTCTGGTTCGGCAGTGATTAAATTGGTATTTGGTTCATCCATGGCATCACCTACTCGAATCACAGTTCCTGGTGATTTTTGTCTACTACCTTTCATGCTGACAATGCCTCCACCACCACTACTTCCACTGCCTGTACTACCCTCCCCTGTTTGGGAACTGCGAAGTCAAATTTAATTTTGTACTCTTCTCCTTTTATTTACTTTATAGCTTTAGCTTAACTTTTTTTTGTTTAGCAACTTAATTTTCATATTTGTAAGACTGAAATGAGTGTATATTGTATCATTAGGTACATGGTACCAAAGCACAAGCTTCTGAACTTTTCAGTTTCATGTAAAATACTATAAAAAAATAAAGACTTTTAATCTTAATCTATGTAGACACGTATGTTAAAATGAGGTATCTAAAATAAACCAGGTCTTACAGTGAAGCATTACGTGTTTTTGGTGTACGTTCCAAACTAGCTGGTATTTGTTGAGTGGTAGTCAATGAATTTCCTCTATTGGGTGATGTACTGCGTGAATTATTCTTACTTGAAGCGGTTACCATCAAATTAGCCATTCCCTTTTTCTGCAAAATTTGTCATCTAACTACTTTGTTGTTACCATATTTCTGCTAAATCTATGAACTCGTTTATTTTAAAAATTGAGACAATAACAATCGAAAAACAGTTTCATATGAATCACTCAATTCATATTGCACACAAGTATTTCACTTTTAACTTCCTCCAGAGCATGTGTTATATTGTCAACTTACATGATATCGTTATCACGTACATGGTATGTCTATATTTTACAATGTGTTATCACACCCAAAAAGACATTCTTTATTCAATATTATTAAAATGAAACATACATGTTCTTTTATATCAAATTTAACTGCTTGAAATGAATACATAGTCTTTATCAATAAAACAATTTGTACATCAATGTAATGTAAAGCTATAATGAATTCATGTAGTAATTTTATCTGTTATCATTGTGAACCAATAAAAAGATAACAAGCCTATATTCAAGTAGCAAAAGTGATCAATTGTAATACAACTGTATATCATCTCTTTGTCTTCCATGTATCTACTTTAAGTTACAGTTTTCTGTGAGAGTGATATTATCTAATCTAAACTTTGTGTATGCATATATGGATTGTACTTGTCCAGAAATAGTATACATATAGGATATTTGGGTTAAACAGTACATTATCATTACATTTTGGAGTCAAAGTATATATTTACTTTAATGGTATAATTACAAAGTAATTAATAATTTTAATGAAAGTATTTATTGACTTATTAATATAATCGCAGAAGCAATAATATGCGACATTGTAAATGTAATTAACAGTCCAAATTATCAAAAATAATGTTAACAGTTCATTTTTTCGAGCGAAATTATAAATAAATAATTCACTTAAAAAACATGCTCTCCTAATCAAAGAACTTCTGAGAAAGATTGTGAGACAATTCTTTCACATTCTATCACCTTTAACCTAATCCTTTAACTGATGAATCACTCTTATCATCATAATTATACTATCGGCATTGCTTCTGGACTATGACCAATATATTACGCGGCAAAAAGTACAAGTAACGTAGAATAGTAAAAACTTCACCTATTTGTAATTAACGAAAGTTTCAAATAATAATTAAATGTAATACATGATACATCGAAATTTATAATAATCGAAAACACATTAAAAAAATACATAATATCAACAAACACATACAACTAAATTTAATACTAAATTTCTTATTTATTTTCTATAAATCAAATGCGATACAATACAGAATAAATAAACATTTGTAACTTGTTTTGTGCTCTTTCAAAATGCTACCCATTTTATTAGACAAAATTTCACTGGTAAATAAAAATACGAAACACACAACAAAATGTTGTCACGAATCTTTTAAAACGACTGACATATATATTCAACCATATTACGGTTGTCATGTAAACTAAGTAATTCTAACGTAAATAACAACATTATAGAATACGCGGAACGTAAAAATTTCTTGAAAATTCACTGTTTCGTATCCCGAAATTTCATCGAGAAATCACGTATCGCGGTAGAAAGATACCAGGAACGAGGAAATTTAAAATAACACATGTTTGTATATCTGGGCGAGGACTGACGATATTCAACAACCTGTGATATTACGTTACTATCGTGACTCGTTTATGCATGTACATCACTCGCGATTATGTGTAGGTTCAAAAGATATATAGCAGGCGATTGTCCCACCCCTTTCACACCGATATATTGTGAAATAGGGTACGGCCGTCGGATAAAAACAAACGATCTGTCAAAAATTAGGCGCCAGTTTGACGCCCGTTTTAGAGAAATATTTGTGACTTACCCTTTTTACCGCCATATACACGTAGCACGGGGTTGAAGCATGTTTCGTTCGGCGTAATGTCACACGAATACACAAAGAGTATCCTTTGCTTTAATACGTTCTCTCTGTCGTTTCTCGTCAAAGGATCGCCGTCGTTATCGTTTTTCACGGGCGTGTCATTGCTCACTGTTCCACATCGTCGCACTATCCACTGCAATGTTAATAAATAAAATCCACTGTGTCGTTCCCAAACACTTGATCGATGGTAAACTCATTCAGAAACACCACGAAATGCGCACACAATGCGACACATTCAGCCGATACCGCTTCGTTACTTCACAACTCGACAGTGGAATACGCCAAACGGGGCATAGAGCAACGAACGCAGAGGAGGGGGTTAACACAACCGATATAACAACACCACCGACTGATCTTCCGATTCCTAGGGATATTTACTAGGAGCGTATGATTTGTCGATAACGCACTACCGTATCTTACGGGTTCTTAATTGGTGATTTTTAATTGTAAACCATCATTGTATAAATTTTAACAACTGTACAGAATTCTTCAAACAAGCTCTCTCGCTCTTTCTCAATTGTCTTTTCCGAGATATCTTGGGTTTATTTAAACATGTCAAACCTAAATGTATATAACAGTATACAACTGTAAATAAAATAATTCCAATAGTAACGCGAAAAATTAAATTTTCTCTGTAGCTGTGACTTTGCCAAATGTGAATATTTAAAACATATGTATATTCTTCAAAGTTAAAAGGAAATATTGTCTAAACACCGCAATACAACTTCATATCAATACTTGAAAGTGGTATTACAGCTTATGCGGCTGTTACTTGCTTTATTTATTAACAATGTGGTACGTCATATTTAATACGAGATTGTGTGCCCTTAAAGTTCTGTCTGGTCAACTCTCTTGGCAACATTCATCGATTTACGTCAAAAACCATACGGGAACGTTAGAACACTTGTTACTAGGTATTAGATACGATCCTGGCCTTGCAAATTACTAGACATTCGGGCATCCTCGATTAAGTTCGGATTAGACGAACACTACGCAGAGAGTGAACGCATTTGACCACTATTCACGATTTATTTGCATTCCCAATGTTTAGTTTTGCAAGGCACGCATGCAAACGACCAAGTGCAAACCTTCTTTACCATTTACATATATTTGACGATGATCGTCTAAATAATATCGAGCCTCGCGATAACGAGGAATTGATAGTATCGTTGATAGGTAGCAAGAATCTCCATTAAATTTGCTCACTGTTCGTCACTCAATTTTTTAAGCTTATCGAGGAGCGAATTCCCAAAGGAATTTTTATATTCAGGACTGATGGAGTCCAATAAACAGTAGGGCGTCTCGAAATGTACGTTGCCCGTGTTGGATCTATCGTCGTGTTGATTACCAACGATAGAAAATCCGGCGGCCGACAATTCTATGCAAAACTTCAAGCCCTCCAACGTGATTAGATTCAAGTAGATGCGCTGATTGGTGCTTCGCAATTTCTCCGATACTTTTATGTCGATAACATGTTGCTTCACGTCATTGATGACAGCTTGGGCTTCGTGTTTCCACTGTTCTTCGTCCAGCACTTTGTCCGCCTCTTCCCTCATTCTTTCGTCTTGACAACGACGATGAGCAACTTCTCATCGATGTATGTAATATTCTACAGCGAATTGGCAACGATACAAATTATCTAGTTCCGTCAACGAAATGTTAGTCGCGATTACACCTCGCCCGTGTACGATCTACGTAGGGAACTAGCACGTGGACAGGTTAGATTCAGGGTCAAAGACCAAGATCGAACGATTATGTAATTTTGCTCGACCAAGTATTTGTTTTCAAGAGGTATAGAATATCGCTGTTTGGCGACGGCAGTGGCTAGAATCCGTGGTCAGCTTAGTCCTTGACATTGCGCCGTTACAAATTATACTGCACTCTCATTCCCACGTACCCACCAGTGCACGTGCACCGAATGCACTCCGTGTACTGACTGTAAATCGAGTCCGCGCAACTTCAAGACGCTGGCGGCGCCATCTACGAGAGACTCGCGCGACTAACTTTGCCGCAACCGTCGAACCAATTAAACGAGAAAACTTATTTATGCCGCCAAAATCGTAAACTATTTATTCAATAATGATTACGATTATACTACAATTTACTTTTGAAATCGCGTTGCGTAAACTTGGCGTTTTTCCGTTTACGCCTTCGTCGAACGTGATAACAATAGCTCGTTATTCATTACGTAAATTTCCCGTTGAAAATTGTGAATTTTGATCTATTCCTGGCAACGCAAGGTAGATGCACGCGTTGCTACATTATGCAATTCTGTTTGAGAGAATAGTGTCTCGATAGAATGGCTGCGTATTTTAATTTGGAGCGAGTGGATTGGTAGTGAAAATAAATAAACTCTGATACAATTGATTCATGTATTATTCAACTTAGCAATGAATGAAATATTTTTGCACTCTGTTGGAAAATGTGTCTTTAATACCAGTCCCTCAACTAATCGAAGTAGAAACGGGCGTCTATCGATAGTATTCGAATTGAAGATTCAATCAAATGCAAATTCATGGCATCGATTGTCCCTGAATTCGAACAACTGCGTATCTTCTTTCGATGACGATCGACTCGATATCGAGGCGACTGACAAGAGAACTGAAGAGAACCTGACCGAGGTTGTGACAGCTGTCTCAGCCAGGTAGAGATGAAGACGGGCCAAGCTGAAACTGGGAGATGTGGGATCAGCTACCGGAGCTGATATTGACGCAGATATTCGGTCATCTTGGTCGTGAGGATCGTGCCAACGTTGCACAAGTTTGTCAGCCATGGAACCGTGCACTCTCGTCGCCGGTTCTTTGGCGTTCCGTAACAGTCCTCATCGATCGTGATCTGCGGGGTGACTTCCCATTGGCGGGAGAACTAGCAGTACGCAATCATTCGCAAAATACGAAACGTTCAACGTTTTAAAATCAGAAAATTCATCACCCAGTATTTAATTTAAACGCGATAGAAATACTTCCAGCAAAGTTTGCTGTGTCAATTTTACAGATGTTTCCTTATGGGGATATCTAGTATCTTTAGATATTCAGCCAAAGCGTTAATTCGTGGATATGTAAATACCCAAGAACTATTTTCTTTTTTGCAAGACAAAACATGATTCAATGATGACTCAAGATAAATCTGTCACACACTTCGAATTTCCTTAATTTTAAGTAGAACTCCTTATCAATCCTTATCATACCTTTTCGTATTCGTTAATTTTCAATCGTGTTTAAGCAGACCCCGATCGATTTGTCTAGGCAAAGTATGGCCAGCATATGCGCAGCCTGGAACTCGCCTGGTCGCGGCCGTATATTTTGCCAAGGGAAGCGAGAATTACTCGTAACATTCAAGCTGAAGCTGGTGCCGATTTTCTTATGGTCGTGCGAGCCATGAATGTTCAATTAAGGAAGCTGATACTCACCGACTGGATCTTCAGCTGCAAATGGGGGAACAGAGGCAAGCTGTTGTATGCTCTTGCAAACTTCTTAGGGTAATTAACTGCATACATTTATGAAAGAGTTGAGGTACAACGCAAATGCGAATTAATCAGTTCAAGATATCGTTTCGTCAATGTAATAATATCTTCTGTAATCGATACGCGAAGCCAAGTCGAGTCGATAAGATAAGTCTGATACCTAGCAACCTGTAGGTATCTTCCGAAATGGAGTTAAGGCAGGGGTCGGCAAATTGTAGCTCGTGGTCTATTATTGTATAGCTCGCGAGGAAGGATGATTATTTAATGAATTTCACGCCAGGATCGCGAAATACCCGTTGAGAATATCAATAGTATAGTTCTCGAGTGTTTGATATTATGTATCTGTATGAGAATATATTTTTTAGTAATTTTGATATTAAAGTAATTTGATACGCGAGTAGAGATATTTTTATTGTTGGTCTTTTCACAGAAAAAGTTTGTCGACCTCTGGTTTAAAACCTAATACACATGCTAATAAAGCAATAGTCATCATACAGATCGTCTGATTGATTCCATTTTGTGGAGAGAGGAAGAAATGTCGTAAACAAAAATTGAAATAAATTCCCTAAATTCCCGGTTTTGCTTAATAACGCGATATCATACTTTCTCCACTCTCAAGACAGATTCCGCGACGCACGAGTCAAGATGTTTTAAGGTCACTGACTGTCGCAATTGTCCGCCTAATTTCCTGAGTTAATGGAACGTAACTCTTCAGTTAGTCTGATTGCTTTTCATATTCTCTTCTTTTATATTCTCATACCTACTTGCATTTAAGTCACCCTCGAACGAGAAATCTGCAGACTACTGATATAATTTAAAGAATCAGGTCTAATACGATATTTTAACGAAGTAAACAGTTCTCAGATATTTCCAAAGCAACCAATTTTCGTTCAAAGCATTTCTTCTTGGCGCATGCTGTCGTCAAGTATAATTTTCCTAAAAGGCATCGTGCAGAGGAATCCATAAGAATCCCTTATGCGACCCTTCTACGATGTTATTTAAATGCCTCGACTTCTTACTTAATTATCGTCCGCATAATCGATACGTTTGCGCAGCTGTCAGCACAACTTAGAAACGTTGAGTTTGCTGAACGCGAATCTCGGCGTGAGCGACGTGTTGCGGCTTCTTGCAAGCGCTTCTAGAGGTTGTAGCGAACATTTGGCATACTTGGATCTCCGCGGTGCGTTCCGAGAATGGCAAGCTCCTCATAGTAATTCGAGGTACCACAAGTAATTTACATTTACCTGTTGCCTTGCGACTGGTTTTTAATGATTGCGCGCGTCATAGATAACTATTCAAATGCTCGTGTGACACACATCGTATTCGTGAGGATTACAGTCACTGGTCGTTCAATTATCGATTCATACCGTAGGTATGTGTTTAGCCTTGTGTTGATATGCCATATTTCATTACAAAGGTATGCAAAGAATAGCGGTATCACAGTTCTAAATGTACATTTATAGTATAAACGTGTTTAGTGGCGTTCATGAATAATTAAAACATGCATTTTTCTTTGATAAAATAACGTACACTGTATGTAGTACACAGTATATAGACATTTGATACAACAGGAATTAAGTCAACATTTTTATTTTTGCTTTGTATTGTACTGATTTGATCTCTTTCTGCTTTTATTATATTTGAAGACTCAGACTGAATTAAATACGTACTCAATTTGCCACGGTGCTTTTATTAGTCAATAATAAAGTCCATTGACAATTTTTATTACTCGAATACACTGTAATATGTCCTGTCGTACATGCCTTTCCTGGGACATTTACGTAACCTTCATTTAATTTCCGAGGAACTCGAAAGAAGTTAATTGTTCGTAAGATGAGAATTCGCTAAATTATATCCACGTACCGTGGACGTAATTATATGCAGAGGCTGACATTGACAAGAAAACAGGATGCTGTTGTACGTCATTAATGCGAGTCGTGTTCGTATCATTTGGACCGTGATCCACGCCATAAGTCTGATTCACCATTACAAGGCAACGGGTTCATTTCACAGCTTCCACCGAAGGTTTTCCTGGCGTGAAACGAATCTTTATTCTTTCCTCGACTTTTTAAATAAATACTCTCTGTTTTTCTCGAAACGATCACTATTTTACTATGTGTATGTATTAACTGGATGAAGCGTTGACAAATTTAATCTATTTACAGATATCTGCGTTTACTCTGTCGGTTTCGCGCGTTGACCGTGCTCAGACTCGATTATCCGGCCCTGTCGGATCAGACCCTCAACGCTTTAGCGAACGCGGCCCCGAAGATGTTGAAAACGTTGCACATATCCGTTCGAGACTCTGATTCTAGGCAGCATACCATCGCGGACACTGCTTGGCACAATTTAGCCATCGTTTGCCCTGAGCTCACGGTCTCGTACACGATAGGTAAAATATAATACACAGTAAAAATGATCGATATATTTTTATTATAGGACCATTTATGATTCACTTATCACGTTTATTCGAACAGATATCCTTCATTCATTTAATGTTGAAATTTCCTTTCATTTGATAATTTAGATTGCAATTTTTATCGAACAGATAACAGATCACACACTGTTTATTTTTTACTCGTTAGTCAAAATTAGTGGCTAAATAAAAATCTTGCTCATTTATACTTCCAAAGACCTGTAATTAAGTATTCTATTTGAATATCTCCTACAGTAAAGTTACTAAAGTCTATCGAATTCATTCTTATACTGCATTAGCTGTTCAAGAGTTTAATTTCCAGTTAACATCTCCCATTACGAAGATATGTGCTACTTGCTGTTGCCCAGCGTGCCACTGGCAAGATTTCAAATGTTCAGCGGACACGTGTGGGACCAAAGCAGATCTCGTAATTTCAGAAGCACCGTCGGACTTCTTATCGCCCATTACACCGATACGCTAGGTATAAATGAATTCCTGCTAATGTTGCTCATCCTGTTTGCCATCTCGAATCGTTCGACGCAATCTGCGTGCTGCGCTTTACAGCGTGTTTACCGCTGCACCATGGCAGAATTCCACGCTATCCGATAATATCGGAGTAATTATGAAAATATCAGCTAATTAAATACCAGTCTTAGGCAAAGCATTTTTATTATTGACGTCTGCACTTGTACGGCTCGAGTCAACTTTGGAGTAAACAGAATTATATAAGCTGTGAATGTAGAATAAAATCCTAAACATATTTAAAGGTTGTAAAATAACGACTCTAGATGATACCATTTTTCTGTTGAATTTTTGTTTGTAGTTACTCGACATTATATTCTCTCGTTTCTTTTTACTTTTTATTATTTAAATCGCTAACGATAAGCACAGTTTTACTCGCTCACCTGGCAACTATGTCCCCTCGATTTAAATCGGGGCGACAGTTAACCGGTTAGTAACTGTCTGTCAAATGATAAATGAGAAAGATTGGGAAATGAGAACGTGGAATAGTGGAAATTGCCAAAGTTCCGTCTAAAATTGTTCGTTTTGCTTCCGCGGTAATGCATTCTCTAATAAATAATTCTTCTCTCTGTGACAACGCAATTGTTCGACTATTGGAAGATAATTCATTCCGATCGCCAATTATTGAAATGTCCTAGAAAATATTAAGCATTTCAAAACCTTACTATATCAAGTGATAGCTCATGTTAAATGCAATTGTTAATATTCAAGCAATATTCTAATATTCAAATGTTTGAATCACTTTGAATATTCGAATACAGAAATATTTCTCAAGTAGTTGCAATCATATAGTTCTGTGAACGTGTTAAAGATAAGAAGTAAAGCTGGCTGTGTAGCATTGCAATATGACTTATCATCTGACCGTGCAAAACCTGCACTACTGTCTAGGACACCCTAGTAGTTCGGATAATCGGGGTTCTATTTTTGATACCTAATTTGCTTGGAACAAACGTTTCCTGAACACTTAACACGACTACGAATTACTAACGTATGCGTATTCGTCACCGTAGCGGAAGTGATGCTTCAACTGAGAAACAATCGTGAACTGCTCGACGATTTACTCATCGCCATGCTCGTGCGTTGCAAACACTTAACAAGATTACAGTACGATGGCATAATAAGGAGTCTCGACACATTGCGAGACATCTGTCAGCTCCAAGCCGAGAGCAAAACTCGTAAGTAGAATAACACTTGCCCTCGCGACAACGTAAATCGACTCGTAAATACTTGTGAAAAATAATAATCACAATTTCACTGCGATATGCAGTGAAACATATTACCCCATAGATAAAAATAGACATCTAAAGTCACGATTAAATGTGTAAATGGGCTACTGTTGATATGTGTCATAAATAACTTTCCTCGAAAAAAACTTATCATTGTACTTTCTTGGATTTAGTGGAGATTAGAGAAATACTCTGAAGCATGCAATTCTAGATACGATGATTATAAATAAAAGAACAGTATGACTAATATTTCAAACATTACAGAAACAGCAATATGATTTATACTTAAAATTGCCAGAATTTTTATGTTAAAAACAAAAGTGTAAAAGTAAAATTTGTTTATCAACGCGCTATTTAAAGGTTCAATTTGAAAGCACAGGTGGAAGTCCAATAATGAATCTAATAGGATGTCCAATAATAAGTATATTGCTGAATTCTAAAATATTCATAACAGGTTTTCGAACGATCCACGTGAATCCACGGAACGTTAACGCTCGCAACCGTGCCGTATTGAACGACATTAATTACCATTACGACCACAAGATGATGGAACAAGGCGTGGACTTTCGCATCGAGGACTCCGCCTCGGTTCTACTGTTCTACTGAAGCCTTCCATTTTCTTGGCTGTGCACCCGGTATCTGTCCCACTCGCGTCTCATGATACCACGACCAAAAAATAAACCGAAACCTGCCCTTTATCTTTGGTACGATTGACTTTTCTGTTTTTTCTATTTTAATTGTACACATTTACTTTTATGGACCGTTTATCGTTTGTTAAATATTTTATACGACATAAAGGATTTTTCACGAGCGAAGAAATTGGTTCATTCTTTTCACGAACGAAGAAATTTGTGTAGTATCCTCGAGGCTTGAAATAGAAATCATGTCACGAGGTACGAATGAAACAATTGTAGAACTATTTTCTTTTTTTATTCGATAGAAAACTCGTTGTTAGGGTCTTCGGCGTTATAATAATAAATACGGCGTTGCGAAACAGCCTCGCAGCGTCAGTTTATAAAAATACGTGAAAGCCTTAAACGATAATATGAAAGCTGTGTCGATTAACATCTGCGTTTCGTGGAACGAGTTACATAAAAATTGACTGGCATTCAGTCACTTCGACGAGTATTTAGGTTGCAGAACGATCATCGCAGTAAACGTTACTTGTATAGAAAAAGTATAAAAAATTGTGTATAAAAAAATATAAATCTAAAGCGGCGTTGAATTTTATCACATCGCGCTACAAGTATAGTGTATGAAACATTCATCCAGTTTTAATTGTTAACGAACCTCCAACTTTGTTTCAATTAAATTTTTTATTTTATAATATCTAATCAGGATGTTTGTACTCATTTCCTGGAAATGACTGTGGCATTGTTCGTTGATTTACGATACATTAGATCTTTCGTTCGACGAATGACTTTGCACGTTGGACAATTCATTCGGATATCACTATAAAATTGCATCATATAGAAGATCGAAAATTACTTTCTACGTTTATAGAAATAATTCACGTGAAAAATAAAAAATATTGATTTGTTCGTTCATCGACGAAGGAGAAATAGTCCTTCGATAATATTACGTTTTGTGAAACTCTAAAAATTATTTTCTATGTTCACGAAGTAGTAGAAAAGTATCTTTTCGCGTGTAACTAAATTTACAATGGTCTGTCATACGCAAATACTAGTATCGAGGACGGTTTTGTAATCGCAGCACATCGCGAGAGTAAAATTCTGTCAGCTCGAAACCTTATTGATCCCATAGCGAGGAAGAATTGGTAAAAAAAACAGTACGAAAAACATTGTTTACAAACATCAGAGATGGACAAAATTTTTATCCAAACAGAAGCTTCGAATAACCAATAAAAAGTAGACAACAGTTTGTTCGATAGCCGTGAAATAAAAATAAGAATTTCCAGGGTGAAATAAGTCAGAATGGACAGATGGAAATTTAATCTCAGTTATTTATTGTTTGGTTATTTTGCTTATAAATTTTGTCCACCTTGAGATACAATAAAAATAACGATACGTTGGCTATTAAGAAATGATTCTTATATGTATAGAGTAATAGCACAGTTTCGATGTTTATGGCTCGATCCAGTGCAAAGGAGTTTCGAAAATGATTTTCTTAGCACTGGTATGATTTTTAGTCTCGCTGATCCTACTTTACACGAAAGAAATATTCGTACACTACGTTGAAAGAAATAAACCCCTGAATAGAACTCAACGAAAGCTGTCGTCTTTAAAGCGATCGATTCCGACGCTTCAACGGGTAATTCACCTCGGGTTTATAACTTTATCTCCAAGGGTTGTCCTGATTTCGCATGTGCAAGGATCATCACTTATATCGCTATTAACCACGAAGTATGACTTTATTTATGTGTTCTAAATGCTTTCGTGCCCTAGTTCATCTGTTCTCGCAAAAAGTAGGATACTAAGTGTCCAATATATCAATGGAACTATTTGCATGCAGTCAGCAAGATCGTACGATGGATGATAAGATAAACCAGCGCCTGAAGAGTATCAGTTACCTGTCTTGCAAGGTGTTACTGCTTCTGCGTGATGAATTGCACCTGTAGAAGTCTTACATTCATTTACACGTTCTTACCTTGACAACCTTGGGATAATACTCAATAAATTAAAAAAAGAAATTGCAATAAAATGTAACCAGAAGAAGTTTGCTCATCAGTTCTTTCCACTTCCAGACTCGCTCCTCAGCGACAGGATTTCATGTGAGTGTTCAAAACAGTCCTGGTCACAAAGCCTTTCCCGCAACGCTGGCAAACGTACGGTCGTTCGCCCGAGTGGTAGCGTTTGTGAACCACCAGGGTCGATCTCTGGGTGAACGCCTTGCCGCACTGATCGCACGAGTACTTCCGTTCTCCGGTGTGGGTGACGTTGTGGGTCCTTAGCAAGGTCTCGCAGGCGAAACACTTGCCGCATACCTCGCACGTGTACGGTTTTTCGCCCGTGTGCGAACGATTATGGATCTCCAGGCCCTTCGCGGTCTTCAGTTCCTTGCCGCAAAGGGCGCACAAGTACCTGCGTCTCTCGTAGCTCGGTGTGTCCCCGTGAGCCTTCACTTTGTGCTGCTTCAGCACGGACTTGTACTTGTACACTTTACCGCAGACGTCGCATTTATGCGCCAAAGCCTGCTGGTCCCCCTCCTCGAGCTTCTCTTGCACCAACAACGACGGGTCGTAGTGGTACAGTTGATTGTGCTCCTTTAAACTGTATCAACATCATGGTAAAGGACATTGCCGAGTTTCTACACGCTTTCGACGAATTCTAGGGGAGAAGTGGAAGGATGTTGCTTGTATTGCACGGGGGAACGAAAGACCTCGAGTGAAGTTAGATTCGTTAGTGTCTCGACGTTAGGGATTTCGATGATATTGAATTACATGTGCTAGAATCCATGCCAAATCAGGGGGAGTTTAGTTAGTTAAGTCATCACTTCACGTGCTTTGTAATTGTTTGAAAAATACAAGCCCTTGAAGTTTGCAACATTTAGGTTTTAGCAAGATTTACATTTGCTTTCACAAATTTATTTTTGATTTTGTTAATAGTTTACGCTGGAAAAAAATCTGGAATACCACTTAAAGCGGACTTCCAAGCGCTTGATACTTTCATTGTTCTTACGAGTTAAGAATGCCATTCACATATTCTAGCAAGCCAAAAGGTCTCGTGTCACTGTTCACCTGACCTATATACGTCTTTCGAACTTCTGAGAGAGAATTGTTCCGACTGAGATGTGGGTTGGAAGAGACAGTGAACGTGTTAAAAATGGATCTGAAGTTCGCAATCTAGATATCTGCAAATGCAGGCCACTCTGCATAACTCGCACCCTGGGGATCTATATAGAGAGGTACTCGAGGTTATTCGAGTAGTCAGGGGACAATCTCGACTATACGAGCCGGCAAGTGTATTTCGTCCCACTCATTGCAGGGCCGTAGAAATATGCAAGCCACCCTTACGTGGGTGCGTTCAGGTTCTTAATGTATTCCATTTGGCAACAGAATGATCGGCATTGTTGACACTTAAATAAACTATCAAAGATTCAGAATTGAACTGATGACGATCCGAGGATTGAATATCCCTTGCGTGTTGAATTTGTAAGTGAAGAGAGGTAATGTTCATACAGAAAGAAATTGTTGAATATATAATGGTTCTAATGCTCTTTCAGTAGAAGGTCAAAGAATTTTTGTGGTGGAACCATATTAGTGCAAACCGATAAAAAATTGTACTGGAAAGAAAAAGGGTAATTAGAAGGGTTGGCACATGACAGCACTGGAATCTAAGAAGAGTATCGTCCCTGGCCTCTTGATTCCAGGCACTCAAGCTACCATCTTCACCCTCTAGTACCTTAACGACCTCGTCATATTTCCACCACCCAGAACATGAGTTGGTCACAGTCGCCTTTGTCTGCAGTTAACGACATTATGAACCTTGGGGTCCATTTTGAGAGGCTCTGTTTTCGATCCATTATTCCCGCGTCCACGTCTCTTGTCATAATTTGGTTGTACGATTTAATATACAAATTATAAATAACTTTGAATGTAGACAAAAAGGAAAGGAATAATATTGTAATTTAAAACATATAAAATATTTTACACCACCCTCGTTACAAGTAAAATAAAAATCAAGTCCAATAAAAAATGTATACACACTTGCCAAGAGACTAATGTCGAATGTATGTTACCCCAAAGATATCCAATGAGAGAATGTTTGTGGAAGAATTAAGAGAACAATGAAACTGTTGATAAAACACTAATACCGTACCTATAAACATCGTTGAATATGCTGCCACACGCGTTGCACTGTTGATACTGCATAAAGTTGTGCATAGTCGTGTGCGTCATTAGGGAGTCCTTGTCCACGAAGCTCTCGCTGCAAATTTCGCAGGTGAACTTCACTTCACGATGGTGTCTCTTCACGTGTCTCTCTACGTCGATGGCGTTCACCCCCATGAAGCTGCACTGGACGCAGGGTATCGTCTTCGGCGTGTGGGACTTTTTCACGTGAGCGTTCAGCATAAATTGCTGCGGATACGATTTCCCACAGGTGACGCATTTGAATGGCCTGTGAATACCGTGAACGATCCTCAAATGCGCCACCAATCTGGTCACGAAGTGAAACTTTTCTTGGCAGAGATCGCAGGCTTTCTCGTTGCTCTCGAATCTGGAAAGTTTTAAACAATCGACACGGACTTCGAACGACCGATGTTCTTCGATGGATTATTAAAATGATAGACGTTTATATATTTATCGAGGACTCGGGGAAATGTAATGTTCCCATTTATCGCAATGATTTATGACTGAACTTGATTTATGTAACTATTAGGCATTCACACATGGAAAATGTATGCTAAAGACAAACAGAATGTATCTACTTATGAGTTATAATTTATGACACAGTGAAACGTCGATACTATTATTTATTGAAGCAATTCGTGTTCTTCATATTTGTACGTGCAATAAACCGATTTACAATGAAGTAAAAGTTTTTATCGAAACTTTTTTTATTGGTAAAACGTGTTGTTAAACTCACTTCTGTGCTGGATCGAGAAGAACGTCCTCGCTTTTGATTCTGAAATCTTCGCAGCTGGTAAGCTCGTCATGATCATCGATCCAGTGGCTAGAATTAGGGATCCTTCATTGACAACAATACACATTTACATAAAGCATCATGTATGCTTTGAAAAATCATAAAATCGTATTAATATTCAGAATTTCCTGTTAAAAGAAAAAGAGAGAAGATGAGACTTTCGATGCTTTTGTAAATGTGTGTGGGGTGAAGTAGAGTAATTCCAATCAGAGAAAATGGAAAGAAATATATATAAAATATAAATATATTATATTTATATTAGAAAAATATTTATAATATTATTCTCTTGACTAATGATTAGGGTGTAACCTTAGGAAAAGTAAAACAAGTAAGATCAAATTTATTTAAAAATATTCTCAAGCGTCACCAGAAATATATGTGTTATCTACAATACTAACAAGTATACTGAGCGAGATAGCTAAACTATTACAGACCGATGATGTCTGAATTATCGTGGATACAAAAAAATCTTACAGCAAAAAGTTAAAAGGTTCGAGGGGCTCTATTTTATATGACCATTGGTTGATGTTATATGTTATATAACCTATAGGTTATATATAATAAATATATATAAATATCATATATAGGTTATATGACCTGAGGCTGTACCAAGGCCACCAAGCCATCTCCGGGTCTTCAGTCGCAGCAACCTCCACATAGTGAGACCTGGTAATCGGTATTACTCGCGACGAACAATTCTTCGTCGCGAGTAATAGCGAGCTAATGGCTGCGAACTTGTAACAAAACCTTTGGAAATAAAAAGTGAGTGAGTGGAAGTGTAAAGCCGCGAAGTGTAACTTTTGTGAAGTGTGTGTGTAGCTACGATAGTTTAGGCATTATCGCTCTGTAACAGTTTACCTTCCTCACCCTGTATAAGTATAGTTAACTTATTTCCTTTCAAAACGAACCTAACAATTTTCACATCACTTTTACAAAATTTAATTACAGTTATAAAAAGTTGTCCGGAATTACTCTAAACAACCCCATATTACGACTCTAAATCGCAACCTGGAGACGTTCGTTAATAAAATAGAAGCCTCAGTGTAGTTCAACATTTTTATTAAAACAATTTCTTAACACAAATCGTAAGTTCAAACTATGTATCGTTTACCGCCTTCTTCTAACGACGATCAAGTTTCGAGCTGCGATTTCTCGTGTATCTTGCGATGCTTCTTGAGGAAGCTGCCAGATATGAATCCCTTTCCACAATCGGTGCATTGGTACGGTCTCTCCCCTGAGTGGTATCTGAGATGCAGGATCAAAGACGTCCTTTGCGCGAATCCTCTGCCACATTGCGAACAGACGTGTGGCTTTTCGCCGGTGTGTACACGTCGATGAATGGTCAGGTTCTCTCTGCTGGCGAACTCTTTGTCGCAGAGATCGCACTTGGCGACTTTCTCGTTCACGTGAGCACGTCTATGCACCATCAGCCTCCTCTTCGAGGACAACACTGCTCCACATAGGTCGCACAAATGTTTCGCCTTGTCGCGCAATCCGTGCTGCTTCTTCAAGTGCCTTTCCAACGTCAGCTTCTGCACGAAGCCTTCCAGACAGACCTTGCAGACGTGCTTGCGCCTTGCGTCGTTCTTTGTGGGCTCTGGGGGCAGAACATCCGCGTGTTGACGTTTCAAGTGAGCGGTTAGATTCTTCTTGTAAGGATAAGTCTTGCCGCAGTGGTCGCATCGGAACAACTGCTTCCTCGTATGGACGTTCACGTGCTCCAGGTACTCCGTCTTTAGGAAGAAGCCTTTTTGGCACTCCTGGCATCTGAAAGAGTAATCCTTCGTGTGTCGTCTACGGTGGCTCTCGAGATTCGACTTCTGATTGGACCTGTAATCGCAGAGATCGCAGGCGAACCGCTTCAAACCTGTGTGGATCAACTTGTGGCGGGCTATGTTCATGGGACTCCTGAATGTTTTGCCGCATTCGTCGCAGCTGAAGGCTTTGTCGATCCCGTGTAGGTTCTTCAGGTGCTCCACCAGCTTCCTCGTGTGACAGAAGCAGGCTCCACACTTCACGCATTCGTGGACCGCTCGCGGGGCTCCTCTTCGTGATCTGAAACAGGGGCGTTCATGAAGTATGCGTGGAATCGCGAGGAAACGAGATTGTAGTACAACGTTTTCATGGTGGAAAATAATCCTTCTTCTATTAGCGATTGTAAACTCTGTAAATGTAGCACTTAATTCGTTGGAAGTACTTTTCGAATGGAACGATTTTTCTCCTTCTCAAAGTTCAGAATAGGCTAGACTTACTCTGTCCAGCTATGTTTATTAATATTTAATTGAAAATGGATAACTGCCAGGTAACGATGATTTTCATTTTCACTGTTAAGAAGTATTTTTGGGTTTTTGATGGATTCAAAACTGTTGTATACTTTCCTAACTTGATAAATTGTCCTTAGAAATCTCAGAATGAACGTCCAGAGTGTTATTTATCTTCGATTTAAAACGCTACTTCGAAAATTCACGAATTACCATTAAGATAAACAGAACAGCTGCACTATTTTCTTACAAGCTTTTGGCAACTGTCGCTATACCTCATTGCCAATTTCATGCTCGCAAACTATAATGCCGCAAGCCCATTTTGTCACTGAACTCTATAAATTGTAGTGTTATGTAACTGAGGGGTTTTCTTATGATTTGAACTTGATGTTATTTTGAATTTATATCTACCCACGTTTGTTGACGTGTTATTTCCATTAATCATCATTTTGGACAATGTATTCTCAATCGATAGATTGTTTAAACTAAATGAAATAAAAGAACAATTTACGTATCACCTACCAGTTTAATAAATGCATTCATCTTATTTACAATGTAAATCTTGAATTCTTAACATCAATATTTTACAACTTTACGCAAATAGTGGGAACAAAAACAAGAACAAAAATAAACGTAATTAATATACCTCTGTCTCTCATTCCAGAAAGTTTTTTAATACATATATAGATGTTGCGATTGTATTTAACACTATGCTAATATTTTACCTAAAAGAATTATTCATTCTGCAGGATATAATCACAATTCGTCTATACATTTAATCATTATTTCATTATACTCTCTCAAGTTATCGTCCGTATTTGTACCAATTGATAAAAAATAATGTAGGTACTTTCCGCGTAGTACTCGAATTCGACTCCTTGTTTACAAACGAAGTATGTAAAATTATTTTCTTGAACCTTTGAAGTTCACACGTAGAAATTTCGTAAATAAATTCAAGAGATATGTATCAGAACCGCGAATCTCAACAAAGTGTTCAACAAATAATAACGAGTCTAAACCCACAACATTTATGAAATCTCACAGAGCCATTTTTTAACCCGCTGACTACCATAAAGACAACAAATTTCTAAAGCTCCCAATTCTTTTCATTATTTATTAAAAATCCTAATTCGTACAATAGTCATATCATTAAAAAGAAATTCTGTTGTTTACGTAAATGTCTTACTTCTTCAATCATGCACAGCATTAAAATAATAAATGCTACTTTTTATTACCCTCAATCCAAACCTGGACTCAACCCAGACTTTCCCTTCGATACTAACGTGAGTAATCACGTTACAAATAATATAAAACATAAAAAATAGTCTTCATAGTCCATTGTAACAACCTACTTCTGCCATCCGCAGAATTTAGCAATGCAGTCAACGCGTTAAACCAACAAAGAAGTTCCACCTCGCACAACCTTCACTTCACTTCCACCTTCTTTTCATCGACTTCCTCGACCCTCCTTTCTTCCACATCATCAGCATTTTTATCCTCAACTTCGTCCATATTCGTGGCAGTGGTGTTCAAATCTCGAGTGAACTCAGTGATGAGCCTCCTAACAGAGATCACAGGTAACGGCGGCAGTGGGCCAGGATGTCGTTTCCTATGACAGATGAGTCCTGGCTTCTGAGTGAACGCCTGTCCGCATATATCACAGATGTACGGCCTGAGGCCCGTGTGTATCAGCGTATGCTGTTCCTGAGCAGTCCTCCTCGAGAACGCTTTCCCGCAAACGGGACAAACGTAGGGCCTGATGCCCTCGTGGATCCTCGCGTGGATGTCCAGGTCCCTCTTGTGGCCGAAAGTCTTCCCACAGGTGGAGCAGATCACTTTCTCCCTGGTCTGGTGCCAGAGCAGGTGTTGTTCCAGCCTGCTCTGAGAGGTCAGTCGTCGTTTGCATATGTGACACTCGAAATCAGGAATATAATGTCTGTATCTCATGTGCGCCTTCAGAGCTGGACGACTCTTGCTGGCCTGGCCGCATATGTGGCACGTGAGAGGTGGCCCATTGTTGTGCACCTGTTTGGCGTGCTGTTTCATGTCGTTCTTGATCTTGAACTTCCTGTTGCAGATGGGACAAGCGTGATCGTAGCTGGTGCTGTGCCTGCGAACAATGTGGTCCCTCAAGGTCCACTTGTTGTTGCTCTTGTACTCGCAAATGGTGCACGGATAGATCACCGAGCCGTGCTTTTCTTCCACGTGTTGCCTCAACTCTTTCTTCAGTAGGAACGTCTCTTCGCACCTGTTGCAGCCATGCTTGTGTTTCTTCATGTGCGATCTCAGGTGACCCTTTCGAAAGAACTTCCTGCCGCAGTGGTCGCATTCCAGGCGAAAAACGGATTCGATCGGAGGTACTTTTGGTGGAATGCCTCTGTGACTGAGATTCAGCATCCATTGAGCGTTGCTTTTTCCAACGTGAATTAGATTTTTTTTAAGTGGACTTGAATTATTCCTCTCGTTCGCGAGGGTTTTGCGTGGCTTTCCTGGCGACGTTGGGTACTCCGTTAGGGAGTAAGAGTTCTCTATTTTGATATGACAGAACTCGTCCAGGCTGTTCGTGTCTTTCAGAGGATCGTTCAGGGGATCCGTCGGCGGGAAACTAAAACAGATTAAAGCAGATTCGTTCCCGTTAAAATACGACACACGTGGCACGATAAATGCGATTAAATACAGAGACTACTCACTTGAATTATTTATAGTAGACGGATAGTTCACGGTCATTTATAAATTCATTCGTAACGAACAGAGAAGCTCTGACTATCGGGAGTGATGGAATTGTTAATATTGGCGAACTATGAAGAATTACGTAATTATTGAGAGAAATACGGTAGCAGTATTATCGAATACTTGTATCGACTGTTTGGATTGGATTTTAGCTCATCGTTCGTTATTTTTCATAATTTATGAAATCCAATTAGGTACACGTTATTTTTAATCACAATTCTTATGATGTATAATTTTATTGAAAAGTTCGTGATACAGTAAAAGGTACAAACAACATTTAAAATGGTAAAAATTGCGGCGTTAACAATAAAAAGAAAAGTACAGGGGTATCATTGAAAATCTTAAAGTACTAAAAAAATTTGCGTATGCGTTATTGGTATGGTCTCCTACCAATTAAAATTAAAATTTTGTTTTTTATCAGTGCAGTGGATAAACGACGCCATCATTCACATTTAATTGTAATCATGTGTACATTAATTTAGAATAAGTGAATCGAGTATGTTGCATGTCATCTGCTTTTGATTAAAAAAATAAAATCCTAGAGTCCCTTCTGGAGAACTCTTTGTTGCTTGAATTGTCAACGAAGTCACGTTTACGTATAGTACTTGTATAAAAAAGTAGTCTTCCAGTAGTCTTCAACATATCATCAGACGACTAAAACTTTAGGGGGTAGTTTTAATCCTCCGACCTGAGTTACAATACCCGTCAAAAGGCAACTTTACTTCAGATTACAACAGCTAAAAAAAGAACAAATGTCTCTTATTTTTGTCTGTTCTACAACCCTGACCAGTTTCGTCAAAACTACCACAGCGCGTGATCATATCCCAAATATTAGGTGGACTATAAAGTAATGTCATTTTTGCGAATGTCAATACTCGTTCATCACTCATCATTGATTTTTATCGTCCTGCCATTGAAAATTTGCACGCTATATGACAAAAGGCCGTTGATGACGAGTGGGATTACATAATTCATAAAAAATAGAAACTTGTTAAGAATGTATTCGTTTGAACTTAATGTAAAAGAAATGACATTACTTTTCGGTCTCCCAAATAGCCCCTCATCAGAGTTCGCCCCTATCTCCGATCCATAAACTCCTCTAGTTCACTCCATTTTAATCATCGTATTCTTCATAGTGTACTCCTTAGTGAACTCCGTGACGATGTTCTTGATGGACACAACAGGTAGGGGCGGGAGTGGTCCAGGGTGCCGTTTCCTATGACAAATCAATCCTGGCTTCTGCGCGAACGCCTGTCCACATATGTCGCAGACGTACGGCCTCTTTCCCGTGTGTATGAGAACGTGTTGCTCCTGAGCAGTCTGCCTTCTGAACGACTTGCCGCAGACCGGGCACGGGAAGGGCTTGACCCCCGTGTGAACCCGCATATGGGAGTCGAGATCGCGTCCTCGAAACCTCTTCCCGCATGTCGGACATAGCACCTTCTCTCTGGTCTCGTGCCACGTCAAGTGTTGCTCCAAGTTCTCCTGCGTGGTCATACCCCGTCTGCAGATTCTGCAGATAAACTCCGGCTTGTAGTGCCTGTACTTCATGTGAGCCTTCAGGGCGTGAAGATTCTTGCTGAAGTGGCCGCAAACGTCGCAGACGATCGGCGGCGCGTCGCTGTGGTTTTGTTTAACGTGATGGTTCAGAGCCTTCTTGATCTTGAACTGCTTTCCGCACACGTCGCATGAGAAATTGTAATTGTTGGTGTGGAGTCTTATGTAGTGGTTCTTCAGGGTGCCCTTGTTGTTGCTCTTGTAGTCGCACACGCTGCAGTCGTACACCTGGAGTCGATGGATCTTCTCGAAGTGGGTGGTCAGGTATCGACGTAGCCTGAAAGTCCTGGGGCAGTCGGGGCACTTGTGTCTGTGCTTCTTCAGGTGCTCGGCTAAGTTGCTCTTCTTCAGGAATTTGCGATGGCAGTGGTCGCACTCCAGAGGGATTGTTCGCGTTATTCTCTTCGTTCTTTTCTCGATGCTGTTGACGAAACGCAGTGCGGGGTCTGTGGGGTGCTTTTTGGTTACGTCATTGTCTTCTTGAAGGGAAGATGGAACTTCAAAGTTCTCCTTGTTGATCCAGTTCACGTAGTCTATCGACGAGCTGATCTTGAACACCTCGCTTAAGGGATCCAAGACGCTAAAACAGAAAATGAATTTTCCGTGTTATCGTCGGTTTTGGAGGCAAAGGAGCAGGTCTTATCGGTTAAGTCGCAAATTGGCTAAGACAATGGAATCACCGAAACAATGTTTCCTACGAGCATTCGATTTTGAACCATCTGTGCAATTTGTAAAACGCAGGTTGCTCGTTTTGGATTGTTGTCCAAACGTCATTTCTGTCGGAGCTTATTGAGATGTATGAAATCTTAGGAACTCGAATCACTGTTAATGTATCTGTGTTTGTCATACCTTCTCGTCGTACTAAACGATCCGTAACAGTCGTAGCCTGGAAATGTATAAAAAATAATCATGAATTATTACCGTTTCGACGCGATGATTTAATACAGCAAATATACTTATCTGGGCGCTCTAATTCGTTCTAAATTTTCCCGAGAATTTTTCCTATCTTCGGTGACGTGGCGTAACTACCTATTTTTTAGACTTATTTTCAAGCGAATCGAAACAAGTTCCTTTCAATTTCAACGAAGGCAAAGCATAAATAAAAACGTATATTTTCTTCTCAAGAATGATCGAATACGTTCGATTGTTATTGTTAGGGTAGTTGAAAAGATCAGGCTCAGTAAAAATATTTATTTCAAACTCAAAGCTATACACAGCATGTACGTGTTCTTGCGAACGCAGTACGCTAAGGTATTGATTTTAGAAAAATAGCCGTTATCGGCGTGCTTTCTTTCACGTGAGCTTCTTTTTTCACTGATTTACATGGACACGGTGCTTCTGTTGCGTTCCAGTTATTTTTACGAGGACTAGTTCGCGGAGAAGATAAAATCTAGATGCAGGATGATAGGAATGGAGGAGAGGGAAAGTCGAAGAATTTAGAGTACAGCGTACTTGGGAAACTATTTAAAAAAAATGTCCAGTTAATATGAATTCGCAAATTAATTAAATGAAATTAGTGCTATCTGTTCTATAGTCGGGAAAAGATCGATAATGACTCAAGGCCATCTAGGAGCAACCCCTCACTATACCAGCCTAACTACTTCGTTCTCTATTACTCTTTTTTGTGCAACTTATAAATCCACTTCTTTAATAACTTCTTTATATACGCTTAGACTATATTAACGAAATAAATGTACTAATTTTTCTTTGGTAGATATTATACCAAGATCAAACAACATCATAACAATTTGTTCACGTACCAGGCTGTGTGGAAAAGAAGGAGTTGTACCTGATGTGATTCAGAGTAAGGGAAATGGCCTCGAACAGTCAAAAGAATTTGATTCAACTCAGAACAGAAATTAGATATAATTTGCACTCCTATATTAACTGGAAACATTTTATTTATATTCAACAGTACTACATACCCCCGAAACTGTCAGCTCTCTTTTTTAGATCACCTTATACATTGCTACGCCTATGTATCAAGTCCACGGAGTGAACTAATTCATAATACGCGAGCAATGATCCAATTTCTCTGGATGCTGAGAAGTCTTTATCGTACGATAGAAGCAGAAAGCTCCACGAAGGGATAAACCGATCTCAGCGGAAGTATTGCGCTGCATCCAAATAGAAAATGTTAATTTCACGTCGCTTCAGCCTCGAAGAAGATTAGTCAGTTATTTTGAATTTTATTTAGAGTGGATCTTATTGATCGCTATCAGAAACGATCCTATTATATGATATACACGAATTGTACGATATATTACCAGGAAATTCAACCAACTGGATCATTTATACAACTCAACTGCGATTTTTACAGTCGGTAGACGAAACTATTTTTGTATAATATCAGTTATAATTTGTCATCAACAATGAAACTGCTTAAAACGTTTTAAGGTAAACTTGTATAGACTTTACATGGTTCGTTAAAAGGAAAATTCGAATGAGTACATTGTGTTCTGTAAATCTTAAATTTACAAGGCTGTTATTATATTGTACATCTTAAACCTCTATACTTACAATTATATGCAATATGTCTAAAAATAATTATTGTTCACTATTCCGTGTCTTTAATCCTCCGATCTTGATGATATATAAATTGTCTTGGAGTTCTGTATTTCTTATTTTCTATGCAATATATTTCATTCATTTCAAATCGAACGTTAACGTAAATTAAACGATACGGAAATATTACGTTTACTCGTTGTTGAAGCATCCACTTGTTTATCAATTTTGAGCCTATAAACTGTCCACATTTTATACGATACGTACGAACAAATTTTACTGTTACGAAATACAATTATATTATTAATAATATTAATTACTTAAATTTTCTTTATAGAGACAGTTATTAGAATATAAGCATATACCTCAGCATTAAAGATAATGAGTCATACACGGTTATACTAAGAAAATTCTTATCTTTTTTCTAAATCGTTAAAATAGTAATGATAATGTCGCAGAGAATTGTGTGATGATTAACGAAATAATAGTAGTGGTAGTAATAATAATAGTAATAATAATAACAATAATAGTAACATTTGGAGTAACTAAAATTTGAAACAAAAATTTATAATAAAACCCTTATTTCTCTGTCGAGGAAACATACTCAAATGTGACGTTCATTTATTCTGTGACTTCTCATGTCCGATTTTAAGCGAAGACAATTAATGCTTCAGTAATTAATGGTTATGTAAACATCATTGGCAGAAAAATAATTTTACATACATTGCAAATGTAACACCTACTGATCGAATAAATCTATTTCGTAAGCCATAAACATAACTAATTATTAATTGAATGTAATTCGAAAATTAACTCACTGATCGAATATGATTCACAATTTAATGCACGATATTTTAGTGCAGGGTGTAGGATATACATAATAAACAAAGTATGCAGCAATAAAATTAAGCATTGATCAAACGAGATTAAATAAAAATAGCACCTATTTAGCAAGCAGACATAGATATCCACCGAGTTCACCTGCCAAGTGTGTTTGAATCATCTCAGATACAAAATCAATCAAGACTTCAACATTAATTATCTACCCTTAAACGTATATACCATTAACTTCAGTATTTCAACTATTATCAGAAGTTCACCGAAAAGCGCTCGTCACAGCTGCTCACGTTCCCTTATCAGTTATCATTTACCCTTCAACAACGAGTAGATGCAACGTGGACGAAAGTGGGTCTCCACGATAAAACTTTCCTACCGACACCTCGCGTTCGCCAAAATTTCCACGTATATTGACCGTACCGATATGCAAACAAACTGAAATCGTAGTAGTCGCACAGTTTCCTAGATCGTTAAGACGCGATTAACCGGAGCAAGCGAACAACGTCACCCAAATCGAATCAAGACCGATTCCCAAAAACAAGATCGACGGACACGACCCTCTATGACTCCTCCTCGATTCTTTCCTCGTTCTCGCGCGCGTTTATCTCCTGTACGTATCCTTCCGTGAATTCCTTCACGATGTCCGCGATGGGCATCACGGGTAACGGAGGATGCGGACCTGGATGCGTTTTCCTGTGACAAATCAGTCCAGGTTTCTGTGTGAACGCCTTGCCGCAGATATCGCAAACGAATGGCCTCTTCCCGGTGTGAATGAGCAGATGCTGACGTAGCTGGGACCTCCTGGCGAAAGGTTTGCTGCAGATGAGGCAGGAATGTGGCTTGCACCCCGTGTGAACCGCCATGTGCCTCTTGAACGAGTCCTTCTTCGTGAACGTCTTACCGCACTCGGCGCATACGATCTTCTCCCTCTTCTCGTGTTGCGCCAGCAAGTGCTGGTCCAAGTTCTCCTGCGTAACCATGCGTCTTTTGCATATATGGCACTCGAATTTGGGTTTATAATGCGCCCACTTTTGGTGAACATAGAGGGAGCCGCTGTTTTGGCAGAGTTTTCCACAGACGTCGCAGTTGATTGGTTTCTCTTTGTGATGGAATCGAACGTGGTTGGTCAGGTCGCCCTTTACTTTGAACTTCTTCGGGCAGAACTTGCACTGGTGCTCGTACCGATCCGTGTGCTTGCGGATGAAGTGGGACTGCAGCGAGTGCTTCGACCTGCAGACGAAGCCACAGGCTGCGCAGGGGAACAGCATATTATTGGGCCGCTTCCTGGACCACGTCTCGTGCTTTCTCTCCAAGTGAGCAGCGAACAGACTCTTCTTCAGGGTCCTGTAGTCGCATACGGCGCAAATGTACGCGCCGTCTTCTTGAATGCAGACCTTCTTCTTGTGCGTCCACGCCACGTGCTTCCTGAACGAGATCGCCGAGCTGAACATCTCCGAGCATACCTTACACTTCAGGGCGCCTCCGGAGTTCCTAGAGATCTTCCTGCGCGTTTTTGTCGGCGTTGTGCGATTGTTGGCGGCCTCTAGGATCGCTTCTTCCAAGTATTCCACCTGCTCCACTTGGTCGGTCTGGTCTCCTGGGTCGAGCTGTTCCTGTTCGTTGTATATTACCTCTTCTTCCGTGTTCTGTTGGTACTCGATCGCCTTCACGTCGATCTCACCCGTAAGTCTCTCTATGGTCACCATACTACCTTGAACCTTGACCTGGTACAGGTCTCCGAACTTGTCGTTCTCGTCCTCGATGGAGCCATTCAGGAGTATTGGTTTCACGTCCTCCTCCTCCTCCTCCTCCTCCTCCTCCTCCTCCTCCTCCTCCTCTTCCTCTTCTCTCTGCTCGGGTTCACCGTTCAGGAAATGCTCTTCGTACAGTTTCTCGTCTGTCGAATCGTACTGCAGGTCCTCGTCGTTGTACAGACATTCCACTTTCACCAGTTCCTGCTTCTCCTCTTCCGTCCTCGACTCGTCCAACTGCTCCGGTATGTCTTCCTCGGCCATCGGCGTGTCGCCTTCAGGTACAAAAGCGTAGTAGGGCTTCCCGTCGAACTCCAGGATCTGCCATTTTTTCATAACCATCGACTCCTTGTCGAAGATAAAGATACCGCGTGAGTTGAGGCTATCGAGCCCATACCTGAAACATTATCGATCAACGGCGTTATTAAATGAAACCATGGGCGATACGTGGACTGCAAGCGAGTTCTTTTTTTTTTCTTTTTTTTTTCTAAGCAGAGTTTCATTTTCTTATCTTACATGTGCCGCGACAACTATCTCGCTCGGATTGCCTCGGGAACGTTGTTACGCGGCTGTTAGAAAGAGAGAACAAACAACGCGGAAATGGAGTAAAGCTTCGTAGTTAGAGTGACCACAAACGATTAAGTATCTTGCAGGTCGATGATCACCGTGTCGCATTAGGCGTGAAAGATGAAAATGAGAGATTAGGGTGAAGAGTGTCAACGTGTTACGTCGATACGGAAAATAATACTTTATTTAGAGCACTTGGGAAGAGCGTTACAAATTTTATAGTAACGTGTCTCAGAACGTAGAGCATTATTGGAAAAACATTTATGTTAGGAACATGGCGAACGTCTCGATAAAGAAACACTTGGCTTCTTAGATTCTAAACGCGTCGACATATTAGACCTTTCCACTATAGTTCATACCATTTATTGTTTTATCGTTAAAATTAATCTTCGACACATACCTTCAGGTGTCGTGGAAAAATGTAATCACTAGGCTGCGGATATTTATGCAAACTTAAATGGAAGTGTGTCTTATCTTCTGACCAGTATAACACGTATATTATTGTTGATACATTATATATTCTTGCCATGAATGCATAAATATACCCAGTCTAGTATTCACCCTCTTTTTCTATAATACTTCGTCACCCTTCTAACAAAGTCATTGTCCCTATATAATTTCTATAGTCCTTTATTAAATATAAACCTGTGGCACGAACACATGGGATGACCTGCTAGTACGCATAATTTACCGTCAGACATTCTTAACATTTCCTTTGACCACTTTACGCAACTCGTACAAAATAGTCGTAAACATAGCATACATTTTCACTTCAAAGAGTCAAACGCTTTCAACAAATACATTCTGAAACAATTTCCATCGAATCGAAGGCACAGGATGTATCACTTCTTCATAAACTCCTTCAGGATGTGATCAATGTGCATCACAGGGAGAGGAGGCAAGGTTCCAGAGTGTATCTTCCTGTGGCATATCAGGCCAGCTTTCTGAGCGAACGACTTGCCGCAAACGTCGCAGACGTAAATCCTCTCGCCAGTGTGCAGAAGGAGATGTTGACTGAGACTGCTGTGCGTGGTGAACGCTCTGGAACATACAGTGCAGCTGTAAGGCTTGTCGCCCGTGTGGATTCTCATGTGTTTCCTGAAGTCGTGGCTCTCGAAGAATGTCTTGCCGCATTCTTCGCACACGCACTTCTCCTTCTTCTCGTGTTGGGTCAGCACGTGCTGATCGAGGTTCTCTTTGGTGACCAGTCTCCTATGGCAGACTGGACACTCGTACTTCGCCTTATAATGAGCGTGCTTTTGGTGAGTGTACAGACTATGGCTGTTTCGACAGGTCTTCCCGCACACGTCGCATATCACTGGCGGCTCGCGATGATTGAGCCGCATGTGTGTGGTCAGATCGCCCTTGATCTTGAACTCTTTGCCGCAGTGTTCGCAGGAGAACTCATAGCGGTGCGTGTGTTTGCGTACGAAGTGGGAACGCAAAGTTTCTTTGCGCGAGCAGATCAGACCGCAGATTATGCAAGCGAATTTTCGTCTGCTGGTGAACTTGCTCTTACTGGAACCTTCGTGATTTTGAGCCAGGTGAGCAATCATGGTCGTTCTCTTGTTGCACCTGAAATCGCAGCTCATACAGGACAAAGCTTCTTGTTTCTGAGACATCGACTGATTGAAAGACACGTCCTGCGCGGCTTTCTTTTTTTGATTCTCGTGCACGAGCTTGTGTCGCTTCAGCAGGTACTTCTTTTTGAACTGCTTGTGGCAGACGTTGCAAGTGGACGAACTCTTGGAATTCTCCCTCGATGCCTCGGCGATCGATGATTTAAGTTCCACTGGTTCCTGCCTAAAACAGGAAAACGATTAACGTTTATTAGAGTTCCAAGATGGCGATACTCGATGTCGATGATTACTTACATTCAAAGTTAAAAGTCGTCGTGAGTTTGGTACGAAACGGTAATAAAACTATCACGTGGTTGTTGTTATTATAGCGGTAAACGTAAGCGATTGGTAATTGTGTTCGTGGAGGGTGATGAGAGCGATGGTTCAAATTTGTATTGTGTGTTAAATAAGACGTGAATACTAAATATACTTTTGGTAGATGTATCTTTGTTTAGCAGTTATTACATAAAATGTTTATGTGCAATAATGGCATTACCATTTTGTTTGACATTGGGGTGGGTCTCTTTTTTTTAACTCTTACAATAGTACAAACGTTTAAGAAACAAAACGAGTCACTTCGAATTATTTAATTCTTTATAATTAAAATATTTTTGGTTTCGGCATTTTGCATTTAAATTTGTTTGATTAAAAAGCTCCAATGGAGCCGTTGTTTCAAGTGCGCGGAAAAATGACATACAATGTATTTATAACTGTATCATCAATGGTGCAATCAAGCGGCAAGTACCCATAATAGAGTCAATCATTTCTCTTTATGGCACCTCAAGGTTGCACAATTATTGATTAATTGTTAAAGACGAACTTGCTGGTAAAAGGATCTCGAAATGGTAGCATTGGATTTTCTGAAACATAAAGTTATAGATAAGATTAAATTCGATATAAAGTTATTACTTGAAATCATACTTTCCTTACGATTTATTTATCTTACTGGTAGCCGTATGTATAAATTCTAAGTAGATGCAATAAATTCAACAAACCACTTACTTGTACGCAAAAGCTTATCATATTTATTGGCATCTGCATGGTAAACAGCCGCTACGCTAAAATTATATTTACCAATTATTATTCACACTACGAAAAATATTTAAAACCAAACGAGCACAAATACAGATTAAAATGAAGAAGAATAAAACATTCGGTCCAGTGTTCTGTATTAATTAATTATATTACACAAATGAGTATATCTTCGATGGCATCACAATTCTTTTTATTGGAAACTATTATTTAGAAGCAAGAATTTATGATTGGACAATGTTCATTAAAAATACGTATCTTCTATAAGGTTGTGCTCAAAATATGTTTTTCTAATCTTTTTTTTTGTATACAATATATTTTACAGTAAATTTTAAGTCACGCTATTTGTCCTGTAATTCGTTTCTTACAAAAACTATAAATTCATACAGTTCATCGATGTTAACGCCGTATGAAATTACTTTCCATCCGCGCGCGCGACGTGCGCGCTACGGGAACTATGCGAAATGTGTGAAAATAATACTTAAAACTGATAAAAGAGAACGTAAGTAATTAAAGTCAAATGTTAAAAATTAAATAATTACAGTTGCACGATTGGGCATGAACGATGGTCGCTAACAAAACGTTATCACGTTTGGGATTTTGGAATCCTTTAACACTTTCACTTTCCTGCGTGTTGAAATAACATATGTATATAGCATATATAAGACGTAAATGAAACAGTGTTGTTGACAATAAATCAAGGAAGATCAATGTTTCTTTCAAATCGATTGCACACATGATTCAACAGTTCGTTAAATTATCGATTCATCATCTTTGGAGCATTCCATCCCGCGATGGACACTATTTGAAACAGCATTTCGAATTTTTCTGAAATTTTGATGTCTTGCAGTCTTTAAGAATAATTAAACATTTCTTGGAAGATTTTTGAAGATATTGAACGTTGATTGTACATCTCTCTGAAAAATGAAATGAAAATTATTTCAGTAAAGAGGACGTACGAGATTACATGTATTCCCATTTTATTAACTGCTATTCAATTCGTATTTATTACTAAAAATTGCATCAGTCTGAGACAGTTCTGATAAATTTTCAAATAAAGTTGTTCTTAGACTGAAATAATTTATATACAGTACGTTTTCACTGTGAGGATCCAGAAGCTCCCTTTCATTTACCAGTTTAACTAACAATTTATTCCACAAACGTCACAAGTACAAAAGCAACAAATTTTAAAATACTGTAAAAAACCTGCAAAACATCCAAATTCCAGAACATTTTTTTAATTATTCTAAAAAGTGTCCAACTCCCGATGGATGACTCTTCCAAAATAAAAAAAGAAAAAAGCATACAAGCTTTTCCCTCCAAAAATCCCTTTCACAGCATCGATCATCCCTCGCCAATCACCCTTCTCACAATCAATTAAATCGCGTTTTGTCTAAGGATCATTCTTTTTTCATGAAATCACTGAGAATGTGTTCGATGTGGACCACAGGTAACGGAGGATGCACGCCAGGGTGCGACTTCCTGTGGCAGATCAAGCCAGGCTTCTGCGTGAACGTTTTGCCGCAGATATCACAGATATACGGACGTTTTCCCGTGTGGATGAGCAAGTGCTGTCTGTAGGCTGTGCGACGAGCGAAAGCTTTGCCGCATATGTGGCAATCGTAAGGTCTGTCACCAGTGTGGGTCATCATGTGTTGCTTCAGTCGATGATTCTCAGTGAAGGACTTGCCGCATTCTTCGCAAACGAAGCTCTCTCGCCTTTCGTGCTGAAGAAGTATGTGCTGGTCAAGATTCTCCTGGGTGACCATGCGCCTCTTGCAGATCTCGCACTCGTACTTGGGCTTGAAGTGAGCCCACTTTTGGTGGACGTAGAGGGAGTTGCTATTGGAGCAGGTCTTCCCGCAGACGTCGCAGACGATGGGTCCTTCTTTGTGTTTGAAACGAACGTGAAGCCTCATGTCGCCCTTCACTTTGAACTTCTTTCCGCAGTACTCGCAATCGTACTTGTACTCGGACGCGTGTTTCCGCTCGAGGTGCTCCTTCAGTCTGCGCCGATTCTGACATTTGAACTCGCAGACGTCGCAGGAATACTCCTCAGGTTCAGCTGCGTATCTGTAGCTGGTCTTGCTGGTGGCCATCCGCTTGGCGGAGTGCTTCCTGCTGATGTGGGAGTGGAGGGTGGACTTATTGGTGCTCTCGTAATTGCAGAAATTACAGGCGTAGGTCAAACTATCCTCGTCCTTCAGCTCCTGGTCCTCGGTTTTGTGTTCGAGGGCCACGTGCATTTTGAACGCCACCAGACTGCGACAGATCTTGTAGCAGACCTTGCATTTGTACCTCTGAGCTTGATCGTGAACAGCGTTCCTGTGACGCTTCAACATCTGCACCACTGGGAAGCATATGTTGCACTCCTCGCAGGCGTACACTTTGCTGTCGTCGTTGTAAAGGTCCTCGTTCATCGCGGCATCCCCCACGTCTTCTTTCTTTATCTTCACCTTGCAGAGATTGTCGGTAGTCGTGGAACAAGGGGACGGTTTCTCGTCCGTTGGGAACAGGATCGATTCTTCTGCATCCTCCGTGTCGTTCTTCGGGACCTCCTCCGTGGTTTTCGGGACCGTTTTCTCGTGTTCTGGAAACTTTGGAGCCTGATTTGCTGGAAGGAAGGCATAGTAGAGGCAACCCTCAACGTCGACGATTTGCCACGGTTGCATGGGAATCGATTCCTTGCCGTATATAAAACGTCCGTCCCCGTTTAGAACCCTGAAAATCACAGAACAGTCAGTTAGGTATTTCACGGACTGGTGTTGTAGGATTTTTGTTTGATTTGTTTTTTTTTTTTTTTTTTTTTTTGACTGGCATATGCGATTGGTCTGCGCCGTCCTTTTTACATGTACGTATCGTCAATACAGCTTTTATAGATTACACACGCGTTGCAGCCTTCCACGAGGCAATGGAAGAACCCGGAGTACAGATTATAATAGACGAAGAAGACCTCCGAGTACGTCGTATTGTCAGGTGAATAATGGTACAACAGTAAACTGCGAGATGAAGGTAATCAATATCATTTATGTCTCTTTCAAGGATCAAACTTGCCGTTATCAGTTTACACACAAGTTGTAAATTAAAATCGGATACATTACATAAAAAAAAGTCTTGTATATACGTTTCTCTCAGACATACACCAACGAAGCAATCGAATGACAAATCTTCGTTATTTTTTATTGTAACGTGGTTTCTATGATATTCTACGAACAACGTCGATAAAAAAAAAAAAAAAAAAAAAAAAAAAATCAGGAGCAAAGTAGCCAGTTCTCACGAATAATTCAACACGAACCATTAGAATCTATAAAATGAGATTCGAGCAAAAGGTGCTTGCTTACAATGATCCTATTCCGTTCGAATGACACTTCTATGGGCGATAATACGTTAGTGCTGCTATCGTGCTAAAAAAATAATACGGTCGATAAACTATCGTATAAACGTAATACCTTACGAGCAAACTTATATTTCTCTTTACAGTAACCGTTCCTTAATCTCTAAAAAATGAAATTAATCAGAAATATCAGCGAGTATGTATTAATTGCACACGAACAACTCATTGCACTTCAGTTCTCGGACACGCCGTTCAACGACACGCGCACGTGCAATCGAGGGTTTCAATTGTTCATAATGTCGCTCAGTATGTGGTCGATGAAGACTTTCGGCAAGGGTGGATGCGAGCCAGGATGAGATTTTCTGTGACTGATCAAACCAGGCTTTTGGGTGAACGCCTTGCCGCATATGTCGCAAACGTATGGTCTGATCCCGGTGTGAATCAACAAATGCTGCTTCAGGGCTGTTCTACGAGCGAAGGATTTGTTGCAGATCGGGCAAGTGTAGGGCTTGTCGCCAGTGTGGATCCTCATGTGGACCTTCAGTCTGCTGTTCTTGGAGAAGGTCTTGCCGCACTCCTCGCAGACGACGTTCTCCCTTTGCTCGTGCTGCTTGAGCATGTGCTCGTTCAGGTTCTCCTGCGTCACCATTCGTCTCTTGCACACCTGGCACTCATACTTGGCCTTGTAGTGGGCGAACTTCTGGTGGACGTAAAGGGAATTGCTGTTAGAGCATGTCTTGCCACAAACGTCGCATATAACCGGATGCTCCTTGTGGCTGAAACGAATGTGATTCGTCAGGTCGCCCTTCACCTTGAATTTCTTGCCGCAGGTCTCGCAGGAGAACTTGAAATCATCCGTGTGCTTCCTGGCGGCGTGTATCTTCAGCTCGTACTTGTTCTTGTTCTTATAATCGCACTGATTGCAGTGGAATAGCTTCGGCTGGCCATCCGCCGTGCAGTGTCTCATCCTCCTGTGCTTCCTGTTGATGTGCGAATACAGAGACGACTTCTTCGCGGCCTTGAACGTGCACTCGTTGCACGAATACACTTCTGTGTCGTCCTTGTGCTGGAGCTTGTGCGCGTACAAGGCTCTCTTCTTCGAGCACTTGAAGTCGCAGAGGTTGCAGCACTGTTCCTCGCTCGGTTTCTTGCTCTGCTTTGTACTGGAGGTTTCCAAGGGTTCGTCCTTGCAGTCGAACTCGGACGCCAGGAAAACGGTGGCTTCGTCGGTCTCGTCTCTATTCTCCTGAAAAAACGTTTCCGTCAGGTCCTCCATTTCTGAAGATTCCTCGGTGCTCGCCTCCACCCTGGACTTCTTCTTCGACTGGGTATCCACCTCGTCAGGCTTCCTGTGACTTCGAGCAACGTGGGAAATTAAAGCTCTGCTTCTCTTGCAAGTAAAGTCGCAGGAGTCGCACCTGAAGCACATCGCCTTGGCATCCCTGTGATCCCTCATGTGCTTCTTTAGGCTCGACTGGTCCTCGCAGTTGTAACTACAGACAGTGCAGGAAATTTTTTGTGGAACTTCTTTAGGAGCGGCTGACTTGTGGTTCTTTTTAACGTGCAAGGTCAACGTGGATTGTCTGCTACAGCCGAAATCACAGAAGCTGCAGGCATGCTTGCGTTTCTCTGTTGGTTTCCGTGGGACCACTTTTCTAATCCGTTTTCTAGGTGGTGATCTCAATCGACGAGGGTGTTTTTCGTTCAAACGTTTCTTGTAGTGCCAGGAGGTCAGTTTGTTGGATGATTTGTGTCGGTTCAGCATGATCTTCGTGGGGAATTTCATCCCGCAGGCACAGGTGTAAAAGTTGATAGCCTCGTCGCACGGGTACACCAAGGGGTCTTCGCAACGGTTCGCCTGGTAGCTCGTCGTCTGGATATCGTGTTTTTGTTCTGTCTCTTCGACTTTCACTGAGACCTTGGAGTCGTTCTCAGACTTTGCTTCGTCGTTTAATATTGGCACCAACGAGTAATGCAATTTACCGCTGGGATCGACGTGTTGGCAAAGTTGCATCGGCAGAGACTCGTTCCCGATGATGAATCGACCGGAAGTATCCGTGGTCAGGATCTTCTTATCGCAGGCCCGTTCCCTAAAACATAGCAGGAAGAATACGGTTAATATAAGAAGACATTGCGTTGCGGATAGGTACACAGGCATTACTTACTGCAGATCTAAGGCGTCTTTACAGATTTCTATGCGATTGTGTCTGAATTATAAGTATTAGGTTGGGTTCAGTTCTTATTCCGCACTAGACTTTTCTATACGTTTTTATTGCTGTCTTCCTCCCTATCATTCTCTATGGCGTTTCGTTAAAATTCACGCATATTGACATGTCGAGATTGTTCTCGCAATGAGAGGGCACACGAACGTATAAATAGTTTTAAATTAGACGGTAAATTATAAACAGCGGGATTGTATAAAGATCGATGAATACACGAAAACAGACGAGAAAATAAATACAGAAATGGCTATGATACATGGTAATATCATCGTACAGTCGATGGAAAATTGACGTTGATTTTCACAGGGTTCATACGCATAATCGCATTTACATACAGCTTGATTCTTAATTTTCTACGTACTTAATTCTATTTACTTTACCTGTGTTATAAAATACTGAGTTATTAAATCCTAATTTTTTTTTTAAATGTTTCGGATAAAAGTTGAAGAGTTTTCAATGAGATATTACATATTGGACGTTATTTTGAACGGTTGTATAAATAGCTATGGGCATGTGAATAATGTCGTTTTTCATTGTAAATGAATGGTATGAGAACGAAAGGAAATATTTCACTGATTTTTATAGGAAACAAGTTGGCTTAAATTTTGAATAATAAAAGCGTTCTTAATTTTTGTTTATCGGAGAGTATTGTTTATATACTGTAAAAGTAATTGTTAACACATGTGACGATAATATTAAAGATCAATGTTATCGAATTCACAGTATATAAAGATGAAGGTTACCTTTATTATTCAAAATTCTTGTAAATTAGAAAGCTAACTTTGATAAAAAAAAGTAGCGTAACATTTCCCTCCTCAATATTTGTTTTCATACCATTCATTCACAAGAAACGAGAACAGTTTGCATCTCCCTCAAAACGCATTAATTTTTATCTGAGGCACTTCTTAATATCGCTAATAATTTCAATGGCGTGCATCAGTTAAACTGGATACTATATATAATAATCCAAGTACTGATCTCAGATCTTCGCGACTTGATAGAAATGCAATGGCACGATAACTTTTCCAGTGGAAACGTTATGGAAGTATAAGAATGGCGGAAGAATCACAAATTTCCTTAACATCTAATCAGAGTTACGACGGAATCTTCGCTTGGAATTCGGTAGTGTCCACTCCTAAGTCAGCTATACTCTTGTTCTTCCCAAGAGGCATGGGTGGCGAAGACAAATGAGAATCTGGATGCTTCCTTCGATGCTCTATCATATAATACCTTCTCTTGAACGACTGTCCACAGAGGTCACAAATATGCGGCCTTTCCGCGGAGTGTGTCAGCAGGTGTGTGTTCCTCATGTGCGATGTTCTGAAGTTCTTCTTGCAGATGTGGCAAGTGTAGGGTTTGACGCCGGTGTGAGTGGTTGTGTGGGTCGCCAGGTACCGCTTGGACGCAAACACCTTTCCGCACTCCTTGCACTCGTAGGTTCGACTATGCTGCTGCATGTGATTGCCCAGATTCTCCTGAGTTAAAAGCCTCTTGTTGCAGACGGTGCACTGAAACTTGTACTCGTTTAAATGCGCTACCTTTCTGTGTTTATATAAGGAGTAGTTGCTCGTGTAAAATTTCCCACAAATGTCGCACATGTGTTGAGAGCTGCCGTGCGTACCGATGTGGAACTTCAGGTCCCACTCCATCTTGAAGCGTTTCCCGCAGTGCTCGCAGGCGAACTTGTAATCGTCCGTGTGCCGTCTGATGTAGTGGGATTTCAGGTTGTTTTTCGTCTTTGTGCGGTAGTCGCACTTGTCGCAGCAGTGCAAGAGACTCGAGTCGACTTCTTGGTGTACCAGCCTGTGGGCCTTGAGGTCGCACTTGTACTTGAAGGTTTTGTCACAGGTGGCACACTTGAAGGGTCGATGGAAGCTGTGCTTGCTGGTGATGTGACGCAGGATCTTACTCTTCTGCTCGAAGACCGATTGGCAGATGTCGCAGGTATAAGTGCCGTCGTGAAGTTTCTTGAACAAGTCGTCCCTCTGCGTGGCGCCTTTCTTGCTGTTCTCCAATGTCCTTTGGCAGTTGTTCTTATTTGTTTCTTCGTTATTGGAATTTAATAGAGTTCTTCGATTAGCTGACGTTTTTGGAAGCACTCTCTCCAGCAACTTTTCTTCCTGCAAAGTTGATCCATCGGGTGACAAGCTTTCTTCTTGAATCTC